TACTGTAAAAATTCCCTTGCTCTGTTAAACATCATCTGGGAAATATTTAAAAAAGAAAAATAAATTCAAAGTGGGGCTAATAACTAATAATTCTGACTTTAACTATATATATATATATATATATATATATATATATATATATATATATGTATATATTAGTTCATAATACTATATTAAAATTCTATAATATAATTTGTTGAAAACAAATTATTTTACAAGGTGATTCATTCTGCTGTGGCCACCCCTGACTGATAAAGAGACTATTTATTAATTAAATTAATTAATTAATTTAATTTAACTTTTATTTATTTGTTTATTTATTTTTTGAATTGTTTTTTTCTCCCCTAGAAAGGAGACCTGATATCTCTTGGGTTAAGTAAAGGTATTTGTAGTGTAAAACTAACAGTAATATTGTTACTTGCTTATTTAAAATAAAAAAATTTGTATTTTGTTTTTGTTTGCACGATTTTACATGATGGCAAAAAATAAATAGTAATAACAATAATAAATGGTATTTATTTTCAAAGTATTTTAATAACAATAATTAAAATCATCATTATTATTATTATTATTATTCAATTAGTTTCCTTCAGCTTAGTCCCTTTATTTATTAGGGGTTGCCACAGCACTATGAACCGACATTATTATTGTTATTGTTATTAAAAGAAAACGCACCCATCAACTATAATAAATCTACCATGAGCAAAGATACATAAAAACAAGAGGCATCCTGTAATTCTAAGATAATAATATAATAATACATTATGTGAATTTTCTTTCATTTATGAATTTGGCTGACAATTTTATCCATAAAAGTACATTTTGTACATTTTACAGTTCATAGTAAAATAATTTAACAAGATTAATAATATTTAATTTTATTGATAATATTTTTATAATAATATTAACAATGAAAATTGGTATTATTATTTGTAATGTTGTTTTTATTAACAGGTAAAAACATCCAGTCTGCTATAATAATAGTAGTAGTAGTAGTAGTAATAATAATATGAATATTAAATAATAATAATAATAATAATAATAAAATATAAATACATAAATAATAATAATAATAATAATAATAATAATAATAAAACTAATAATAATAATAATAATAATAATAAAATAATAAGAAGAATAATAAGAAGAATAAAACTAATAATAATAAGAATAAGAATAATAACATAAATAAAAATAAATAAATAAATAAGAATAATAAGAATAATAATAATAAAACCACTACTACTACTAATAATAATAATAACATAAAATTCAATAATAATAATAATAATACACAGGAATGTTTGCCATGTTATTTCCAGATCTGCTTTATGAGGCTAATAAATGAATTCCTCATAAATAATAAGCAGCTCCTGCCTAATCATATAGTCATGTATGGTCTTGGGATTGTAACAGACTCCATACTTTACGTAATGGAGAATAAGAATCAAACCTAATTCATTAAGCAGAGATTGCAGTGGGATGCATATACATGTGTTTAAATCATCGAGCCCCCTGTGTTACTCAGAGCGTCTGGATTCCAGCGTTTGAGTCACGGTTGACTACTGAAACTGAGCAAAGGAAAATACAACTCTTGCTTTATAGTTTGTGGTTGTGTGTAGAGTTATATTATCCATAACTGTGGTCAGTCTAATGTCTGAGTCATGTTGTCTTGTGTTGCAGATGAGACATGATGAGGCAGAAACATGATGGGGAAAACACACACGCTACACAGACGTCTGCACACAGGAAAACCTCAGGTGGGAATAGTAGAGATCTTACTGAAACATCTGAAGTTTGTCCTATCCTATCCTATCTAAATTTGCATACATACATACAGACAATATACTTCAAAATAAAGACACAGAGAGAGTTCTATACTGTAGCTTTACATTGTTGCCTAATAGAAAGATAGATGGTTTGGATTAGGTGTCAAAACATGCCAGTGTTAGAGGACATCTAATATATACATGTTAATGTAATTAAGACTTCTTTTTATTATTAATAATAATTGTAAAAATTACTTTAACTTAAAATTAATACCTATTATTTTTGATAATAAAATATTTTTATTAATAATAATAATGAAAATTAATAATAATAATAACAATAATACAATTATCTTATTATTATTATTATTATTATTATTATTATTATTATTATTATTATTAATATTATTATTATTATAAGAGAAAGCATCCAAAAAATACTTCATTACTGATTAAAAAATAATAATAATAATAATAATAAAAATGAAAATCTTTGGCATTTCTGTGTGGAGTTTGCACGTTCTCTCTGTGTTGGCGTGGGTTTCCTCAGGGTGCTCTGGTTTCCCCCACAAGTCTAAAGACATGTGGTATAGGTGAATTGGGTAAGCTAACTTGTCCATAGTGTATGGGCATTTCCAGTGATAAGTTGTGGCTGGAAGGGCATCTGCTGCGTAAAACATATGCTGGATAAGTTGATGGTTCATTCCGCTGTGGCGACCCCTGGTTAATAAAGAGACTAAGCTGAAAAGAAAATGAATGAATGAATGAAATATTATCAATAAAACAAAATATTATTGATCCTGTTTGATAGTTATTATTGTTATGTTATTAACAATATTGTTATATTATTGGCCTCCAAATGCATAAATGTAATTTACATAAATTGGTGTTAATAATGTCGTTGCATTCAGTCAACTATAATTACTTTACTATGAACAACAAATGCTAAAAAAGCAAAAGGCATTTTGTAATGCTCAGTATAAGATATTGCAATAGTAAATGTTTCGTTTGTTTATTTTTAGTGTTTATTTATCACGCAGTTTCAAATGAAAAAAAAATATTTACAATAAATTACATATTTTACAGTTAATAATAATAATAATAATAATAATAATAATGTTGATAATACTAAGTATTATTACAATTATTATTATTTTAATTTCACACTTACTATTAACTATTAGTATTACAATACTATTATTAACTGTAAAGTGTGTACCTTATTGAACAAAATATGAAATGTAATGTTTATTATTATTATTACGAATATAATTATGAACTGTTGTAAAATGTTAAATTTTTTTATTGTCAATTTATGTTGTCAAAATTTGTCAAGATTTACATTTCACACTTTGTACAAAATAATGTACTCATTTTACAGTTTATAATAATAATACATATTTTACAGAACATTTATAATATTAATTATAAATTAACTAGAATAACTAGTAGACATAATATCAAAATGATCAAAATATCAAAACAAAAGACATCTTGAATGATAATATAATATAATATAATATAATATAATATAATATAATATAATATAATATAATATAATATAATATAATGCAAAATAATATAATATAATATAATATAAAATAAAATAATATAATATAATATAACATAATATGATATAATGTAAAATAATATAATATAATATAATATAAAATAATATTATATAATATAATATAACTTAATATAATATAATGTAAATTAATATAATATAATAGAACATAACATAATATAATGTAAATTAATATAATATAATATAACATAATATAATATCATGTAAAATAACGTAATATATTATAATAAAATATAATATAATATACTATAATATAATATAATATAATATATAATATAATATAAAATAATATAATATAACATAATATAATATAATGTAAATTAATATAATATAATATAACATAATATAATATCATGTAAAATAACGTAATATATTATAATAAAATACAATATAATATACTATAATATAATATAATATAATATAATATAATATAATATATAATATAATATAAAATAATATAATATAACATAATATAATATAATATAATGTAAATTAATATAATATAATATAACATAATATAATATCATGTAAAATAATATAATATAATATAATATAATATAATATAATATAATATAATATAATATAATATAATATAATATACTATAATATAATATAAAATAATATAATATAATATAATATAATATAATATAAAATAATATAATATAATATAATATAATATAGTATAATATAATATAATATGGGGCAGCATGGTGGCTCAGTGGTTTGCACTGTTGCTTCACAGTAGGTCGCTGGTTTGAGTCCTGGCTGAGCCAGTTGGCGCTTTGCATGTTTGCATGTTCTCCCCTGGTTTGCTGCGGGTGCTCCGGTTTCCCCCACAGTCCAAACACATGCGCTATAGGAGAATTGATTAACTAAATTGGCTGTAGTGTATGTGTGTAGTGTGTGTGTGTGTGAATGTGTGTGTATGGATGTTTCCCAGTGATAGGTTGCAGCTGGAAGGGCATGTGTGAAACATGCTGAAATAGTTGGCGATTCATTCCACCGTGGCCACCCCTGATGAATGAAGGGACTAAGCCGAAGGAAAATGAATGAATGAATTGCAGTTAGCCTGTCGTGTTGTCGTGATCAGGTGTGTGTTATATAATGATGCAGTAATGTTTTGACAGTGCGAGTAATGAAAGCCAGTGCTGTGCTGTGTGTTTGTTCTCTCCACTGTTTGTCTATGATGAGATAACAGGTGACACAATAGTCCAGCGACTCCTTTCAGAATCAGGCCTTCATTTGCCCTCCAAGCTAAACACATCAACAGAGCACTTCCTGTCAAACAGGAACTGATAGTACGCTCCATTTTTATCTGGGCCAGAACATGGAAGTGTTATCGTATTCCTGTGGGTCTCTTCATCCACCCTTCACCTCCGTTCTTTGAGTCTCTAAGCATGCAAAACAGCCAACAATACACATATTTACGCTGTATTTCATTCAACTATTCCACACATTTTGCCACAAGTGTGTGTGTGTGTGTGTGGGTGAAGAAGCAGATATTAGTCTGAATTAAATATAATAGTAATAGTTGTTGTCACAATTGAGAACAGATTTACTGGCCAAACACCAAAAGCAATGAAAACACAGTGTGAAAGAATAATATTTGTGAAGGAAATGCTTAAAACACACCGGAGAAATGGTGGAATTTGTTCAATAGTCTCTTTATTTCCGCAATTAAACATTAAATATGTCATAAAATATGAAACTCACCCCTGTTTCAGTGCAAAATATAAAAAAAAAAGAAAAATACAGCATATAGAGGATTCAGTAGTTCTTCCAGAGCACAATATACAAACAACAACCTCACGTGAGTTCTTCATATGCAAGAGGAAAGGTATATATAGTAGTTTACCTACTCAGAGAATGAATAACACTCATAACTTACACGCAGATTCGTAACATTTCACATAAAATAACGGTTTAATACATCTGTGTAGTGCTTATGTGGGCTCTGTTTAAAGCCTACCCATGTAGACAGCATCTTTAGACATCATATGCAGCCTCTTGGTTTGTAAGTGCACAAGACCAGCAATGCTGAGGACTTGATTTATTAATCTTCATGAGTCCTATTATTCATTTACTCACACTCAAGTGCTTGTGAAGTGTAATTAGAGCTTATGCAGCATGAGACGGGTCACTTCAGATTTTGTGTTTGATTTATTGTGTCATTGTTCGGGATTTCAGGATTCATCCGTTTATTTTGATTGGACTAGTCTTGGGTGAACTTGTAAATATGGAGTGAACAGACTTTCCTCAAACACACAGAGCAGAATATTGAGATGTTTTTATCTTGCATGACAGCTATTTTGCACTTATTGTGCTCCTTTATTTTTAGTTTTGGTCTGATGGCAACACACCACCCTTGCATGGTGAAAGCCATTGAAATGAATGGGTTTCATAACAGCATTTCGGCTGGAAAAATAGGTAGTTTTGGTTTTTGGCCAATAATTTTTTGGCAGCTGAAAATCCGATGCATCCCCACTGATCTTATTCTTTACATACTAGTGGGCTCATTCACTTCCATTCATTTTTAGCAGTAAAAACAGACGATTATGTTGCAAACTGATATTTTGTAATGATTTTATTTATGTTTTTAGGTCTAGTCATGAACACACGTGTCTGAGAGCAAGTAGCTTGACTCTTTTCTGCCATGTGTTATTCATTTTTCCCATATCACTGAATAAATGATAAATTAGATGTACTATATTTTTAAAAAAAATTATGCATTTAATTAATTTACTAGATTTACTTTTTTAAGGTAGGTGCTTGCACACAATGTATATGGGATAAATTTAAACAAACAATACTCAATTTAATGGGGTATATGCCGAAGCATGCTAATAGGACTTTTAATTTGCCAGTAACTTGGGTTAAGCGCTTCTGTTGAACTTCATGCCATTGCAAAATTGCTGCGTTTAAGGTCTGTTTTCTTTAAAAATCAGCGATCTCCACTGGCTGAGTGATATCCAATTTAAAGTGGGTCTCAGATTGTACAAGAAGCACTGCATTACATTACATTTCCCCCTGCCATGTCTTTATAATATGAGTATTTATTTTACCCCAGTATATTCAAAGGAGCTTCTGCGCTAGCCTGCTGATTCTGACGAGTGCATGCGAGTAAACGCTATTAATCTTCTTTTACACTTGAGCAACTAAATGAATGCCAAAATCTGTTTAACTGATTGTATTTTAATGACATTAAAACATCGATGCTGTAAAAGGAACCGTATAAAATGGAAAAAAAGCTCACAATAACAGCTCACCGGAAGTTTATCAGTATGGGAACAGCACTAGCTCGGCATATACCCTATTTGTTTGCTTAAATTCAGTCCATATAACATGTTTGCAACCACTAACCTTATAAAATTGAGTAAATCTGGTAAATTAATTTAGTGAATATATCATATTTTCAGTGTAGGCAACTGAATCACAAGTTCTAAAACAATTGCAGAAGCAAGCGCACTTCTACATCGCAGAATAAAGTCAGGTTTGGAACAAGTGGAGGATGAGTCTCTTGTTTAATTTTTGGTTGAACTGTCCCTTTAAGCAGATAATAGGAACAGAGCCCTGTGTGTTTTAGTTAGAAACCAGTGGCGTAGCGGACGGGCCCGCACGGTCTCTCAGACCCTTTTCACAACACTTTTATGAAGCATTTATGATGATCATCCTTTACAATTTTTAATATTTAGATTTTAAAAAACGTATGTATATTTATCAATATATTTAAATGTGTATTACATCATCTCTGCATCAAATTACAGTAAACGAATGAGCGCTTGTGTGAGGCGTGCGTAATGTATTGTGTATGGGGACAGGACAGTAAATCTGACATTCTCTCTTCTGCCTGTGCTTATTGTTTTCCTTCTTCTGAAAGTCTTGATAACACCATCCTGGAGTTTTTCTCTGATTATTACAGCTGATAGGATTGTAAATAAAATAAATAAATGTATAATGATTTATCTCACATTCACTGCGCTCTGAGTTTACCAGCTATGCAGACTTCTGCTGCTGAGAAGCACGCACGTGTGAAAAGGCTCCACTGTTCTTCGCTCAGAGTGTTGGTTGTGTGTCGCAGCCCAGAAACTCCAGACGCAGAGCGATGTCGTTCACCCAGCCTTTAGGATGAACGCGGATGAAACGAGTGAAGAGAGGAGGATCAAAGATGTTCAGTGTCTCCTCATTATTATCACTGTTGCCCTCAAAGATCTGCAGCACACAACACCAAACACACAACAGACACACGGGTCAGAAGAGCATCGCATTTTGCATAAAGATTAGGTTGACCGTTTTGGTCCCACTTTATTTTGGGAAATATATGAAATAGTAAAAAAAGGAGGGTGAATACTACTGACTTTAACTATTAGTGTAGGTGTACAGTACCTGCTCGCTGTCGGTGCCCTGCTCCGTCACACTGCTCCAGCTGTGTCCATCATTGCTGACAGAAACAGTGAATTCTGTCACCATCATGGGCTTCAGGACGGACCGAGCCCCCTGTGTGATCAAACCGGTCACTCGCTTCACTGACGCAAAGTCCACCTGGAGCCACTCGTGAGGGTTATTAGACTGTGGAAGAGGGAACAGAAGATGATCAGAGTTTTGCCCTTGTAGTTAATTCATGTCACTCCCCGTCACATTTGCTCCCCCTTGTTTCCTTAGTTACCCTTGTTAGTTGTCATGTTTGTTTATTGCTCCACCCCTTCTCAAACATAGGCTGGAATAGTTGGCGGTTCATTCCGCTGTGGCGACTCCTGATAATCAGGGACTAATCCAAAGGAAAATGAATGAATGAATGCCAGCTTTTAAGCTTGTCCGGCATCATCACAGCTTGGTCCAGCTTCGGATAGTGCTGTCTTTGTGTACAGTGATAGAAGTTTCAGTGTTCACACTCAGACATACTAAGAGATTACACTCTAATAAAGCACACAACAGGCCCAGAGTTCTGGCACTTGGCAGCTTTCGGTGTGCAATCTTGTGCAAAGAGGAAATATAAAGAGTCCAAACTTAATAAAACCGTAAAGAGAGACAATGGAGGGATTATCTAACCTTCACATGCACACACAGGACAGAGGAAACACTCTTACAATGGGATAGAAAACACACAAACTTTCACTTCCTCCACGAAAACACGGACTGGGTGGATGGATGAATGGATGAATGAGTTGATTGGGTGGATAGATGGATTAGTGCAGGGGTGTCAAACTCAATTCCTGGAGGGCCGAAGCCCTGCACAGTTTAGTTCCAACCCTGCTCCAACACACTTACCTGTAGGCTTCAAACAAGCCTGAAGGACTCAATTAGTTTGATCAGGTGTGTTTAATTAGGGTTGGAACTAAACTGTGCAGAGCTGCGGCCCTCCAGGAACTGAGTTTGACACCTGTGGATTAGTGGGTGAATGGGTACATGGATAATAATAATAATTAATAATAATTCGTTACATTTATATAGCGCTTTTCTGGGCACTCAAAGCGCTTTACACAATGGGGGGGGGGTCTCCTCATCCACCACCAGTGTGCAGCATCCACCTGGATGACGCGACGGCAGCCATTTTGCGCCAGACCGCACACCACACACCAGCTGATTGGTGGAGAGGAGACAGAGTGATGATATGCCAATCATGATATGGGGAGGGTTAGGAGGCCATGATGGACAGAGGCCAGTGGGCAGATTTGGCCAGGATGCCGGGGTTAAACCCCTACTCTTTTTCGAAGGACATCCTGGGATTTTTAACGACCACAGAGAGTCAGGACCTCGGTTTAACGTCTCATCCGAAAGACGGCGCTCACTGAGCAGTATAGTGTCCCCGTCACTATACTGGGGCATTAGGACCCACACAGACCGCAGGTTGGGCGCCCCCTGCTGGCATCACTAACACCACTTCCGGCAGCAACCTAGCTTTCCCAAGTGATCTCCCATCCAGGTACTGACCAGGCGCAGCCCTGCTTAGCTTCAGTGGGCGACCATGTGAGAGTTGCAGAGAACTAGCTGCCGGCTAGATGGGTAGATGAATGAGTGGAAAGATGGATGAGTGGAAATACTGTTGAATGGATAGTTGGATGAGTGGGAAGATGGATGGGTAGAAAGATGGATGGATAGAAAGGTGGATGGATAAATGGATGACTGCATTGATTGGGTGGGTGGATGGCTAAATAGATGGAGAGTTGGTGGATGGGATGATAAATGTTGGATGGAGGGGTGGAAAGATGGATGGAAAGGTGGATTGATGAGTGGAAAGATGGATACATGAATGAGTGGATGGATGGATGGATGGATGGATGGATGGATGGATGGATGGATGGATGGATGGATGGATGAGTTGAGTTGAGTGGATAGTTGGATTAATGGATGGATGGGTAAATGGATGGATGAATGAGTCAAAAGATGGATGAAAGTTTGGATGGATAAGTGGAAAGATGGATAGATGAGAGAAAAGGACGGATGGGTGGAAAGATTGATGAATGGATGGCTCAGTGGAAAGATGGATGAGTTGGTTGGTTGAAGGATGGATAAATGAATGGTAAGGTGATTTGGTTTAGTTGGTTGGGTGCACGGATGAATGAATGAATGGATGGAAGGATGGACGGATGGATGGATGGATGGATGGATGGAAAGATGGATGCGTTGGTTGGCTGGATGGATGAATGAATGAAAAGATGGATTGATGGGTTGGTTTGTTGGGTGGACTGATGGATGAATGGAAAGATGGATGGGTTGATTTGTTGGGTGGATTAATGGATGGATAAATGAATGGAAAGATGGATGGATGGGTTGATTTGTTGGGTGGATTAATGGATGGATAAATGAATGGAAAGATGGATGGATGGGTTGGTTTGTTGGGTGGACTGATAGATAAATGGAAAGATGGATGGGTTGTTTTTTTGGGTGGATTGATGGATGAATGGAAAGATGGATGGGTTGGTTTGTTGGGTGGATTGATGGATGGATAAATGAATGAAAAGATGGATTGATGGGTTGGTTTGTTGGGTGGACTGATGGATGAATGGAAAGATGGATGGGTTGGTTTGTTGGGTGGATTGATGGATGGATAAATGAATAGAAAGATGGATTGATGGGTTGGTCGGTGGAGTGGGTCATGAATGGATGGGTTGGTTGGGTGGATGAATGGATGAATGAATTGGTGGACAGATGGATGCACACCTTTGGTCTCCAAGCGTTTGCTCGTCCCTCCTGGTGTATTCTGGCGAGGTCGGGGCTCCAGGACAGCAGCCACTTATTGAGGAATGAGGAGGCGCTGATGCTGCTGTTGGGAATCGACCTGCGCTCCATTCCCAGTGGCAGAGAACAGCCTGTGGAGCACACACACACACACACACACACACACACACACACACACACACACACACACACACACACACACACACACACGCACACACACACACACACACACACACACATACACACAATATTTAGTTTTTTTTAAAATCCCCAAACTAAATGTAACCTTTCATTAAAGTAAAACAATTAAAATGACAACAAATGGAAATATCTTTAAAGTATTTGCCATTTACACTTAGATTTTTTAGCACCCCAGGCTGAATTGTGTGTGTGTTTCTATGTATGTGTGTTGAACGTGTTAACTCACTGTTGAGGTCACACCCCAGCAGTTCAATCCTCAGCGTGGGCTGCTTCTGGAAGGTCAGAGGGTGAATGCGGATGTAGCGTCCCACGATGGGTGGAGAAAATAAGTTCTCCTTTATTCTGGAACCGTCCATGTTTCCATTGAAGGTCTGAATTCAACAAAGCAGATGTGGATAATGCAAAAGCATAAAAATAGTCTCATCCAAGATCAGGGTTGCATTTTTGTGGAAATCAAAGCAAAGCAGTTTCAGTGGAAAAAAGAATGATATGTGGGCGCGAGCTTCGTCATGCATTTTTTAAAGATTATCTGAAGGAAGGGAGATTTAGGGAGGCTTTGTGTTTGAAGTAGCTGGCTGGTTAAAAAACCTCCTAAAATATAATGATTATCGCTGAGAAAAAAAGAGCTCAACTGGAGCGTTTTTTTTTAAACAGTCTGATCTACTAAGTAAACATTTTTATGCACAGTTTATCATTTATATTATTAATATTTCATCATTTTAATATAAGCTTTTTAACAGAGCAACAGTGTTTCCTATTTTCCTTCTGGAGAAAGACTTAATTATTTTGGTTTGGCTGAAATATAATAAATAATACTATGAAAATATGAATTAAATATTTAATAAATATTATTAGCATCCTTTTTTTCCCCCCAAATTGGCTACAGAACAAACCACTGTTGTCCAAAGACTTGCCTCATTAATCTAATTAGTTAAAGTTATTTTAAGACTTTTAATAAAAAATGGCATATTTCATTAATGAAACCTCGATCAAAGATTATAAAGTTTACAATCTGGCATGAAATAGCGTTGGACCATCAGAGCAGAGCTCATTAATATTCATGACCCTCCCAAATAAGGTCAAAATGGACTTCTGATTCTATTTTTAAAAAAATTAGCATATAACTTTTAGAGTTTCTGAAGAATTTATAAAGTTACCTAAGACACATACCTACTATATAGAGAGCAGAGAACAATTCAACTTATTGAATCAATACACTACAGTATATGGCAACACTATAGGTAAAGTTGAAGACAACATTTTTAAAACTTTTAATTCTTTTTCAAATGTTTCCCAAGTACCGCTTAACATTGCAAGAGAGTTTGTCCCAGTTTTTTTTGTCCCAGTATTTCTCCTGAAGAAGAAACTTATTTCTTATTACTTATTACTTTTAGTCCGGCTGTAATTAACATGTATAAAACCTTGATAACTGCTGTGGTCAATATTATTAGCCCCTTTAAGAAATTTGTTTTTGGATTGTCTACAGACACTGTTTTACAATGACTTGCCTAATTACCCTAACTTAACCTATTTAAGCCTTTAAATTATACTTTAAGCTAAATAATGTAAAATACTATGTATATTATGTAGTGTTATCATGGCAAAGACAACAGAAATGAGTTATTAATGTTTAAAAACATGTTATTTAAAAAATCTCTCCATTAAAAAGCTCTTGGGTAACATTTGAAAAACACACTGTAAAAATGAGATGACAAAGTCATGACAACTAATATTTTTAAGTTACTTTAACTTAATTTTATAAGTTAATCATGTTTCAACTTCATTTTTTAAGTTCTACAAAGTTTACCTTAATATATTAGTCAGTTTGACTGATGTTAATTAATAAGTGATTCAACTTAAAAAATTAAGCAGCAGGATTTTTTTTTTGCATTGAATCTGATCTTACAGAGATTTTCACAGCAACAGTGCACAGTTCGCCCCTGATATTCATTAAAAGTGATAATCTGATATGCTGGTACTGACGTAATATGGTTTGGTGCTGTTTCCTCTGTAAACGCTCCAGTTCTCCTGGTCGTTGCTGTAACTGATGCTGTAGAGAATAGTGAAGAACTCGCTCAAACCCATCGAAGTCTTCGCACCCTGAGTCTGAATACCATGCAGGATCATGGGTCTTAACAGATCCACCTAAAACACACACACACACACACGCACGCACGCACACACACACACACACACACACACACACACACACACACACACACACACACACAGTGTTGACATGCAACTAAAAAGAACCCAATCCACATTTTAACCCCAACCGTATAATATAATATAATATTAGTTACACTGTTATTATGTCACCTTAAAATAAAGTGTATTTATTATTTCTCGTGACTTTTCCAGAAATGTTTCAGGATTCTATGGATAGCAAGACATTTATTTTCCACTTTCTCTTGCCTTCAGACCCAACTAAAGCAAGTGCAAACCTATTCATATAGTATTTCTAATTTATTCTCATGACTGGACCATATGGAAATGAGTTATTGTGGATGTAACAGATCCTTAGAAATGAGCCCAAACAACACAGGATGTTTAATACAAAAATGAGGCTTATTTACCTGCAGCCAGGAGTTTGGGCTGCTGCCCATCCAGGCATTAATGGATCCAGTTAACTCAAGTCTGGCTAATTCAGGCTTCCAGTCACCTTCAGAAGAAATAACATTTCGATAAATATAAGTAAGAAAAATCCTTGATATAAGGAGAAAAAAAGGTTTCACTGCTTGTTCAAACTTACTTTAAATGAGCCGAAACAACCCAATTCTTGAGATTTTTAGGTATTATATTGAATAATACAGTCTTAAAATGACAGTAATATAATTTATCATAATACATTTTGGTGCAAAATATCACAGAACAAAAATTAGGATTGGTGGATCTGCTAAAGAAGAGTTTCAGCCAGGGTTGAGAATCTGGATACTTTAATCCACTTGCTGTGTTCTTTACTTAGTCCCAATACATTAAACCCTACAGGAAAGCTTTATTACACATCATATGGCCTCTTTAAGTCTTATTTCTAATACAGTTTTGGTAAATAAAATGTGAGAAAGTAATATGATTTAACAGATCTACCTAAAACACACACACAATCAGAATGACTAGTTCAGTATGCTTATTCTGTAATGCTTAAAACAGTGTTTCTACTAAGGCTGTGCAATTCATCTAAATTAAATGTCAGTTTCAGGCTGCCAACAATAATGAAGAAAACAATAATTAGCAATAATACAATAGCATTTATAGCGGTTCATTCCACTGTGGTGACTTCTCATTAAAAAACGGACTAAGCCGAAAAGAAAATGAATGAATGCGAATAGCAGTTATGGCAATGTATCATGTGCCGTTTCCAGCCGTCTGAATTAAATCCTTCACAAACCCCAATTTGAGGTGGAAATCAGTCAAATCATGTAATGTGACTTGCGGTTTGTACTGCAACTTGCTTGATTTATTGAAGTGTATTAAATGTATTCCTGCTATAGAATACTTGTGCATAATGAAGCTTCATGTGGCCTCTTTAAGTCCTGTGTCTTTTAGTAATATCATTTTGTGTTGTTTTTTCTTACCGTAGTAATCAGACGCTGTTATTTGTTTGTTGGTGATCCATCTTGATTGCATTCCTATGGGCTGATTGCATTCTGTTAAAACAAAAATCAGTTTAGGCCTCCAACTATACAGTGATAGAAGACATGACTGCACAAACACAATGCAAAGAAACATCCATGACAATCTCCTATTAGCTATGTTTCCATCCACCTATTTTTATGCACAGTTTAAAATATCACATAAAATAACTCTGAATGGAAATGTGAAGATGCTCAGGAATTTTGAAAATGCCTATAAAAAAGGTAAGCATATAAATTGAGCAAGATAAACATCCGATAGTGTGCATAAACTATGATAGAAACACATTAGTGAATAAACTCATCAGTCTGCATGCTGTGATGTAGTTGTTCACAGATATAGATGTGCATTTGAGGGTTTTTGTGTCATTAATGTTGGCTTGCAGCTCTCCATGTTTTTCAGCTTTCCATTGTTGCAGATCTGAAATGTTGTTCTGCTGATTGGAAAAGGCATCAGGTCTCCGTCAGCTCGTCATCACAGTGCTTCAGTATTGTTATTTATCTATTATTATTCCCTCCAGAACTTGAGCATCTGTCCGCGCTCCCATCTCACGCCTCCAAACGCCACCACATTCACCGCGTTCATTGCATTTGGTCTTCGTGTTCTGAGGCGCAGAACAAACAAAACAATGCAGAATCCCAACCGTGCAGCAAACTCCACTTCTCTCAGTGATATCTGTGCAGGTTTATCAGGAGGTGATGATTCTGTTCTCTTTGGTTTCTCATTGGATGGAAATGCTGATTTGCTTGCTAATCTTTTATGGGATATTACAGTTTGAGCTTAAGTCTTATGCACATCTTTGGATGGAAACACACAGCTACTGAGATTGAGAGTTAAATGCTCTTACGTGGGTTATAGACCAGCAGTTTTGCCCTCATTCCTGCCAGCTGATGTTCCCCTATCGTGCACTCTATTAACCAGGTGCCTGCGATGGCAGGCCGCATCTCCACCGTCCCAAAAACACCTGTTAAAAACACACAGAACAACTAATATACTGACACTGAAGAGGAGTTGGGAATAATTAAGTGTTGTGTTATTGAAGAAAGTCTCTTATGCTCATCAAGTTTGCATTTATTTCATAAAAAATACTGTACAAATGGCAGAATTGTCAAAAAATTTAATTGTTTAAAGTAATTATATTGCAATATAAATATTCATTCATTCATTTTCTTGTCGGCTTAGTCCCTTTATTAATCCAGGGTCACCACAGCGGAATGAACCGCCAACTTATGCAGCAAGTTTTTACACAGCGGATGCCCTTCCAGCCGCAACCCATCTCTGGGAAACATCCACACAGTCATTCACACACACACACACACACACACACACACACACACACACACACACACACACACACACACACACACACTACTGACAATTTAGCCTACCCAATTCACCTGTACCGCATGTGTTTGGACTGTGAGGAACTCCCGGACGAAACCCACGCGAACGCAGGGAGAACATGCAAACTCCACACAGAATTGCCAACTGAGCAGAGGCTCGAACCAGCGCCCCAGCGACCTTCTTGCTGTGAGGCGAACGTGCTACCCACTGCCCCACTGCGTCGCCGCAATATAAATATTTCAATGCATTTTCTAGATAGATTTTTGAATTTGCAGCATCATTTCTTCAGTAGGGCTGGGACAATATACAATATTACATTGAATTGATAACAATGTTAAGCTCTTGACTATATATTTACTCTATATTGATCTAAGAGCCAATCACACAGCAGAAATGTGCAATAATGGGAATCTAAAAGCGTGTTGATATTAGAGATGCACCCAATTTTCAGCCACCGAAAATTTATCGGACGAAAATGTTATGCTTTTAATGGACCCTCTCATTTTTGTGGCTTCAGTCATTGTTGGGGTACTCTTTAAAATCTGGGAGCATAACCAACTGATTTCGAAATAAATATTGAAATTTTTGCCATATTGCTTAGCCCAACCCTTCATCTTTTAAAAGTCGGTCTAAATTGATGATTAAGGAACATTTCTAATTATTATTAATGTTCATAACAGTGTTCCTCATGTTTTTTTATTCAAAGTTTGGAGTAAGAAGAAAATAAATTAATACTTAGTTTTAGCATCTCATTCATTTAATCTATCAAAATTGACAGTAAATAAACTTAAAGTGGTCATTTTAGAAATGCTATTCTTGTCATAGAATGGGTTATTAGATTATAAGGTTGTGCGCTGTTTACCAGGATATAGATTGAAAATTCCCATGCGGTGTTCCTGATCCTTTCCCACTCTGAATGGAAGTCCGTGGAAGTGTACAGCGTGAAACTCGCCTTGAGTTCCCAGATTGAGCAGATGCCAGCGGGCCGTCCTGTACTGCTCAACCCTCAGACCAGGCAGCGTCTCAGACACGTAACCGTTAATAGCTACAAAAACCAAAAGAAACATCATCAAACACTGGTGTTTTTCTCTCAGAATGCATGTGTTCACACTTTACATCTAGTCATGTGAGAACGTTAGGACACCCTATTGAATTTCATGTACCGTTTCTGAAATCGCCCCCTATTCCTTCAAATAGTACAAGTTTGCCATTTCTAGTGCTGTCCGTTCTGAAGTGCACTCAATCAATCCCACAATGCACTACAATAACGAGATTACAACGCATGCACACTCAACAGCAGATCTGATCGCTTGTCTTCAGAGGGGGAAAGCCCCGCCCACTAGTGCCCATCTCTCCCTCATTAGCATAAACAGCAGCCCTGAGTGGGAAGCAGCCGTCTGTCCATTAGCCATTAGAGTGTTCGAGCTGCTGAAGATCATGTCAGCATAGACTAAGAGGATTATAGATGTGGAGTTCTAGATGAGGAGCGACATAGACTGACAGAAGCATCAAGCACACACACACCTGTTTTGAATGTGACATGATGTACCTGCAAACTTGTTGCTAGTCTGGAACCAGGGATCGTCTACTCTGGCCTGGCATGGCGGGATGCAGAACTTCCTGATGTTGTAGTCGAGGTACCAGCTCTTTCTTTCGTCAAATGTGGTGAAGAGAAGGAAGAAATCTGTGACGTCAGGCTGAAGCAGGACTCGTGGGTTGAGCGTTCCAGGACGACAAATCAGCATGGGGCCGATCAGACCAGAGTTTATGTCCTTCTCCTGATAAACACAGAGAACGCAGAAGTGTCTGTTTGTTTCACTGCATTTGGCTATTCCATCCACACAGGGCGACTGGTATAGAGTCGGCCATATTGGAGAACAATATGTTCAATCTGATTGATCAATATTTCGATCTGTGCATTGATTTACCATGTTGACGTTGGAGTAATAAGCTCCAGCCTTGCAGTCGAACTCTGAGGCGGAGGGTCCTTGGCGTCTGGAGATTCTCCAGTTATAAACTCTCTCCTCTCCTGGAGGAACTGGATCTCCTGCTTCTTCCTCCAGCTTGGGGTTTTCTGGACCCATTCCAGTGCTGAAACTCCCCGGCGTCTTATCGTACACTCCATGCAAGTGGAATGAGTACGGTCTGGAGGCCAGGTTCTTAAAAACCACCTTGTGGGAAAAGAAATGTTAGATTTTTCCACATCATGTTGTTTTTTGAATGATTTAGAGGTTCAAGGGATTAATTTTGGGGTTTATCAAATTAATTGTCAAGCAACTAATGAAGCCATTCTGAAGCAGTCTGTTTCGTTGAAAGCATCCATTAAATGCGGATGAATGCAACTTTCATTTAATGCAAAAACCTACTGTGAGAACATCATTGATCTCTGCTTTCACTACAGGACCCATAATGCCCAGGTGCTCGTCCAGTTCTCCACGTTTGATTGGATGCCTGAAATCTCGGTCCTGATACGCTCTAAACACCACTTTTTTATAGGTTGGGAAGTATTTTCTCAGTCCCCTCCGCATCTCCCTGTGGACGAATGAGATATTTAGTCGATGATGATGATGTAAAGACTGCAAATATTCAAATGACTGTACCTCAGTACTGTAGCTTTTCTCTGGAATTGTATTTAAGTAAGTCGTATTTAAAAATTAGACTTTAACTTGAGTATATTTTGGTGCTGGATCTGTACTTTTACTGCAGTCACTACTTTACACTCACCGGCCACTTTATTAGCTACACCTTACTAGTCCCGAGTTGCACCCTCTTTTGCCTTCAGAACTGCCTTAATCCTTCATATTCAACAAGCTACTGGAAATATTCCTCAGAGATTTTGCTCCATATTGTCATGATAGCATCACACAGTTGCTGCAGATTTGTCGGCTGCACATCCATGATGCCAATCTCCCGTTCCACCACATCCCAAAGCTGCTCTATTGGATTGAGCTCTGGTGACTGTGGAGGCCATTTGAGTACAGTGAACTCATCGTCATGTTCACCAGTCTGAGATGATTGAGCTTTATGACATGCTGCGTTATCCTGCTGGAAGTAGCCATCAGAAGATGGAGACACTGTGCTCATAAAGGGATGGACATGGTCAGCAGCAATACTCAGGTAGGCTGTGGCGTTGATGCTCAATTGGTACTAATGAACCCAAAGAAAATCTCCCCCACACCATTACACCACCACCACCAGCCTGAACCGCTGATACAAGGCAGGATGATCCATGCTTTCATGTTGTTGAGGCCAAATTGTGAGCCGAGCATCCGAATGTGTCAGCAGAAATGGAGACTCATCAGAGCAGCAACGTTTCTCCAATCTTCTATTGTCCAGTTTTGGTGAGTCTGTGTGAATTGTAGCCTCAGTTTCCTGTTCTTAGCTGACAGGAGCGGCACCCGGTGTGCTCTTCTGCTGCTGTAGCCCATCCGCCTTAAGGTTGGCCGTGTTGTGTGTTCAGAGATGCTCTTCTGCAGAGCTCGGTTGTAGCGAGTGCTTATTTGAGTTACTGTTGCCTTTCTATCAGCTGGAACCAGTCTGGCCATTCTCCTCTGGCCTCATCAACAAGGCATTTGAACTGCCGCTCACTGGATATTTCCTCTTTGCTGGAGCATTCTCTGTAAACCCTAGAGATGGTTGTGCGTGAAAATCCCAGTAGATCAGCAGTTTCTGAAATACTCAGAGCAGCCCTACTGGCAGCAACAACCATGCCACGTTCAAAGACTCTTAAATCCCCTTTCTTCCCCATTCTGATGCTCGCTTTGAACTGCAGCAGATCGTCTTGATCATGTCTACATGCCTAAATGCAGTGAGCTGCTGCCATGTGATTGGCTGATTAAAAATGTGCGTTAACAAGCAGTTGGACAGGTGTACCTAATAAAGTGGCCAGTAAATATATATATTATACAAGTAAAAATTACATTTAAAAAATTCTTATACAAATATTTCTTTAGTTGCTACTTAGAAAAGTAGTATTATTACATAACTCATGTTAATTGTGATGCGTCACCCCTCAACACTGTTTAATAATTACCTCGGTTTGATGAGCTGAGCCGGTTTATCAATCCCATAATCCCACATGACTTCCTCAGCCGCGATGTAGTAACTCCTAAACTTTGATTCTGTCGACCGAACGCCGACATTATCCTCAACAAAATGATCTAACCCGACAACGCTTCCCTCATCACTGTAATCATCATAATCGCTCGTCACCGACTTCTTCCCGTACATCTTGTCATCCGATGAGTTAGACGCCGGCTCCAAACCCATCTCCGAATACTTCTTCAGGTCCTTATAATTATAGCTCAGCGGGTTCAAGCTTTCCTCCATCTTATCCCGCTTTCTTCCAGAGTCTTCTAAAACTTCATTATCACTCATGGCTTTAACATCTTTCTGGTTAGTTTTCCCAACGCTCCACAGTTCTCTCCGACTCCTTGCTTTTTCAATCTCCACCATTGAGATATTTCGGATCGTATTAAAGCTAAGCGGATTCAAGCTTTCCTCCATCTCATCCTGCGTTCTTCTAGAGATGTTTAGGTTTGTATGTTTGAAGAGGAATTTTCTGAGCAGCTCATTTGTAGTGTCAGCACCTGCTTGTGTTTCATTGTGTTGGTTTTGAGGTAATTCAGTGTAGCTGGACGTGACTGTGTGGGATTCCTGGTGGGATCTTTTCTGTCTTTCCACCGAGTTTCCTCCAATCTCATCGTCCAGTTGATCCAGAATATCCTGAGGAATACCGCCCTGCGATAACGCTTCCAGATCGTTCTCTTCTTTTACGGGAACATATCTTATCTCGCACACGCGGCTTCTGTTCAGCGTCTCATTGTGTCTCGTGTTGCTCCCAGAATCCGTCACAGTTCTGTTCCTGCAGACGCGGATGGCGATAGTGCGGTTCTTTCCCATGGTGCCTCGTGGATTGGGGAAGTTTTTTTCGATGATCTCCATGAATTCTTCATCGTAGTCGTCGTAGTCTACTTTGGGGAGCACACGTTCGCAGTTTACCACGGTATAGCGGACGCTCATACCTCGCTCTTTTAGAGACGGGTCAAATGCACTGACCTCCCATTCTCCTGCAGAGATCAACATGAAATAGAAAGAGATTCTAGAGGTTAAAGCCACCGTGACAAGTCTTCATCCAAAAAAAAGCTATATATAGTAAATTATTAAGGATTATTAGTGTTACTTTTTAAATTGCAATCTTAATTCTTATGTAATCGACAATTGAAAGTGAAATGTCAAACATACGTCATATTTAAATCTCTGACATTAACATTAAATTTACAATAAGAGTTAAGTCATCACATTTGTTTATTATTAGTTACAAAGAGTCTGTTGTATTGTGATTATTATGATAAAGAGACTATACAAAAGTTGATCAATGAGCAATATCACATGAGTAGCAGTGCGATATGGCTGTATATCACACTGCTACTCGTGTGATGTTGCATTTATACAACAGTTTGACGGCATAATTGTGTATATAAAAACAAAATCAAACATGGAGAGTCTCAAAAACCCTTTTGTATGAGGAACTACTTTCTTCCGCGTTGGATTCAAATCATAAGCTGACAGTTAAACAGCTGGGCGTGCATCTTTTACACTTTTAAACTGGTTTGAGTCCAGACTGGCCCAGTTGGCTTTTCTGTGTGGAGTTTGCATGTTCTCCCCATGTTGGTGTGGGTTTCCTCCGGGTGCTCCGGTTTCCCCCACAGTCCAAACACATGCGCTATAGGGGAACTGATGAACTAAACTGGCCGTAGTGTATGAGTGTGTGAACAAGTGTGTATGGGTGTTTCCCAGTACTGGATTGCAGCTGGAAGGTCATCTGCTGTGTAAAACATATGCTGGAATAGTTTGCAGTTCATTCCCTGATGAATAAAGGGACTAAGCCGAAGGAAAAAGAATGATTGAATAATAATTGTTATTTAAATTTGAGAGATGTTTTGTGTAAGTTTTAGTCCTGTTTTAGTCATTTCCAGCATAATTATATTCATTAATACTGTCATTAATTAATGTATTTCTTATTAATGGCATGAGTTCAACAGAACTGTTTTCTGTTTTAATGTATGTTAAATTTGAAGCTTTGCTATCACAGAAATGCATTATATTTTGAAATGCATAAAATACACTAAAACAGGCAACACAATCTCACAATAATACAGATTTTATTGCATTGTTGAATAAATAAATGTAATTTTAGCAAGAATAAAAATAAAATAAAACATTCCAAACTTTTTACTAGTGCATATTTAATTTAATTCATTCATTTTCTTTTTGGCTTAGTCCCTTATTTATATACACAGCTGAATGAACCGCCAACTATTCCGGCATGGATGCCCTTTCAGCTGTAACCCAGTACTGAGAAACTAATTTAATTTAATATTTTAAGTTATTTCATTAGTTATTTTAAAATACATGAATTAAACTATAAAATAATGTTTTATTATATTACGGTTTTATTGCATTTTTGATTAAATAAATTAAATCTTATCATACAAAAGTAATTAAATATTTCAAACATTTAACCATTGAAGGTTTATTTATTTTTTTCTTAATTTTATTTTAGTTTTAATAAATGTTAATATATGTTCTTCAACTCAAACAATCCTGAATTTGAAACGCACCAAATAACTGACTTTATATTTATATTATACTTATATTTATACTTATTTATATTATACTTATTATAAATATACTTTATATTTTTTATTACATACTTCAGTTATTAAAAGGTAGACTCGTTATTAAAATTATACCAGGTTATTTCAACCCAATTCTGGGTGTATTACACTGTAAAAAATGTTACTTAGATCTAACTTATAAAAAGTGTGGCAAGTGGTTGCATCGGACGTTTTAGGTTGATTCAACTTCCAGCCTTTTTTAAGTATTTTAAACACTAAAACATTGCTTAAAACAAATGCAATAAAATTAAGTTGAGCCAACTAATATTTCTAAAATTACTCAAATCAGATAAACTTACTTTTTTTGTTAAACTTAACTTACTTATACATTGCTATATGTTGACTGTACTCATTTTAATTAAGTATTATGAACTTAATGATTTAAATAAAATTAACCATGCATATGTCATTTAAAACTAATTTAATTGACTTCTGGCTGTAACCTCAGAAAATAAATCTTTGTTTCTATATTGTAAGCACAATATACACTAGTAAAAACAGATAAACAGACTTTCCTGTCAATAACAATTAAATAAGAATGGGAAGATGGATTAAAGACCATAACATGTATTCAATATCAATCGATGTTCCTTTTAATAGTGACTACAAAATAGGCCATTAATGTGGCTACACATACACAATACATAAATAAAAACATTAATAATACCAGATCCTATTGAGAAATCATCCAAGGCAACTCAGTGAGGAGATTTGCATATTTTGATAAAGATTTAGGATGCATAATGTCCAGTCCCACAAAGAGTCTCTAATATATCTCAAATGTATACAGTTTTGATGGATACTTGAAGTCGAGGACATCGGTAAGTCCAAACAGGAGCCATCATGCATTTGACAGGTTTGGCAAACCTCTGACAGTCCTATGATAATCCAAACTGTGTTGGGCTGATGGCAAATTTTTCCCGTGGGCAGCCGCATGCACCTCTGATTCCTCACAACTCTATTGGTAGAGACAAAAAGAAACAGGAGTTCAGGTGGTTGCTACCAAACAACATTAAATAGCTAAATACTGAATAGGAAATAACTACAAGTGAAGTTACAAAAGTCCAGTGAGAATGATGCATGGATGAAACACCTTAGTTTATCAGTTAAAAATTACCTTAGTTAAAATTACCTAACTTCTATTTAAAAAATAAAAAAAGGTTATAGAGGTTGTGTAATTACATTATTCCAGGTGTTTTTAGTTATCAAATTTTAAAGAAAACTGTGATTTTTCTCAGTGTAACAGTGCATGTCATTGTGTTTTCCTGTCAATCAAAGAATTGTTAAAATTTAGGTATTACATTTTTTGTTTATTTTGGCAACTTATAAAGCATAAGAATGTGTATTTAATTTAGATATTAAAACTGTTTGAAAATGGCTATATGAAAATTATAGAATACAAGTTCTATAATTTAAATGTCATCTTCATTTTGCACCAAACTTTGCACGTCATAATACAAATTTTATTAAATAAATAAATAAATACATTGCCATTTTACACATTACATTAAGGTTTACATTAAATTTTTGCTAAAGCTACATTTAATTGACTTTTTCTTCAAATTTAATGTCACTGGCAAATGACAGTTCAGTGATTCAGTGTTATCAGTTAGCTTTATTGAAAGACTGACAGATAATAAGAAACTGCATTAGGATATTTTTATACTGTTTTTACTGTTGCACACATAAAAAAATCTTCAGATATCAAATGTAAGTTAATTCTATGGAGCCCACTATTGTTTGCAATTTTACCAATGTTTTACTTGCCTGCAAATAATTATAGCTGTAGTTGTATCTAATGTTTTTCTTACCTGGATGTGAAGTTTGAAGATCCACAGGTAACAAAATCACTTTGGTATCTAAAGACCAAGAACATGCATTTTAGAATGAGGTGCATACAATTTAAATGGTTCTGTAAACATCAGTAGTAAATGTAATTTAAGTTAAAATAAATTGTAAATCTGTAATTTATTCACTATGCAGCATTAAAAAACTTATGGACTAAATCTCTAAAACACAAACTTTAAGTTATACTTTCTCTTACGTTAAACACACACTACTTAACTGTTGCATACGTTTCTGCATTTAATATCCATCCTTAATGTGCTGCTATAACTTAGGTGAGCTAACTTTAGCTAATTTAGCGCTAGCAAACTGAACCCCCACACCCCGACCGCCCACCAGTGACCTTGTTAATCGGTTCTGCAACGTTAGTTATACCTACTAAGTGTTTTAAAACTACTTTCACTATTTTTTCTCAATAATATCACTTTTAATCGTTAGCATAAACTAGCGTTGGTTAGCGTTAGCCAACTTAGCTTTCCATGTGAGAGCGGTCTAACTGTTAACATACCTGAGGCTACAGTACAATTTACAAAGCTAAAACCTCACCTGCCTAGCGAAGACAGCAGTTTTGCATGACTTTACAATTATCATTCGGCTAAATTTGCAACTTACCGTGTTAATCAGATCCGCTGCTGGGAGCAGTTAATGTCGACCATTGCAGAAGCTGCGTCTGCCTGCTAAATCCCGGGCAATGAAAAAGGAGTCACGCCAAACTATTAAAATCACGTTTTATGAACACCTGCCCACATCGACAGCTGCTCTAATAAATTGTCTGTGTCAACTCACTTTTATAACATTTATTCTACACAATAACCACGTAAAAAAATCTACTCAAATAAATTGCATTAGTTTTATTCAAAATATACAGTTATATAAAAACTGATATATTTTAAGTAAAGAGGAAGCAAATTTAATTTTTTTGGTATAAAACAAATAAAATTAACTAGATTGCAATTATTTAAAGTAGATAGAACCAACTTTGTGAGTGTAGCACTTTTTACAGTGTAGGGACTGACCCAACTGCTGTGTTAATTTTTTTAATTAAACTAATAGGATCGAGTTGTGTCCAATTTGGGTTTAAATAAGCAAGCTTTAAAAGTGGCTTTAATTTCTGACAAGCATCATAAATCTAAACTGTTAAAAAATATCTGTAAATTAGCTTTTTCAGTATTTTGTGAGTCCTGTTTTTATTTTTCCTCATTCAATTCTGTTTTTGAGTTGCATTATGGGATCTTGACCTTTTCATCCAACAACTTTTAACCTTGATAAGTTGTGAAAAGTGTCTCTTCTGAGCATGTTTAATAGTGTGCAGTGCTAGATTGTCTGGGTTGGTGTTGTATGTGATGCTGCAGAAACCTTGTAATAAACTGCAGCACGTTTTCTGTTATTTTCTCTCATCTCTTTTATTATTTCAGACTACTATAATGTCCATAAAAGTCACTTTGTTAAATTGTAGAGTTGAATTTTCAGCATCAGAAGTGAACAGAGCGGAGATCAACATCCCATGATGCAATTCACAACCAGAAATACACCCAAAACACTTGCAAATCACACAATACGGAAACTGTTCATCACTAGGTATTGTTGACAGTGTGTATTTAAGTGTCTTGTTCTTTGACCTTACCCATCATCTCCACTTCAGTGGTGACTGTGTCTCCAGTCATTGGGAAAAGCGTGAGCACGGTGCCGTACGCTTTTTCCCGCTCAAATGTATTTCCGGTGAAATAAACTGACAGGAAGTTGTTTTGCATGCCGATGCTCGCCACATGCCAGAGGATCACATCGCCAACACACATCTTGTACTGCAGGTGGTTGAACATGAAACCGTTCACAGCTGAAACAGACAATAAAAGAGCCAATATATTAAATATATGATGTACAGCTGAAGTCAGAGTTATTGGCCCCCACGTATATGTGTCTTGACAACATGAAGGAATTAATTTAACTGATTATTTTTCACAAATTTAAGTGGATTAACCATGAAACAATTAAGCTGTCCTCAAAAAAAAAAACCTCAAGAATTGTGTTGTTTCAGCTCAACCTAATTTAGTTTGAACAAACAGCAAACGTCATTTATATAATAATGTACAATGTCATGTATAATAACTACTAAACTCCGCAGATTTTTTACAATATCCTCACTCACTGTGCATGATGTTAGAATTGTAGAAATCCAGATCATTGCGGTTGATCTTAGCTGGATCTTCACTGTTTCTCTTGATGTTTTCCTCGAAGTACCAGCTTCTGTTTTCATCAAACACCGTAAACAACAGCTTCTTCTCTTTATCTGACGTCACCTGTAACAACATCAGCAGCATTTACTACCATCTATGCATGCGTATAGTTTCAATCCTAAATGTAAAAATGGTGTATGAAACGACCTGATAGATTGCAAATAATTACAAGTTACATTATCTTTTATTTTGCATAAAATAACCAGCTGGATATATATTATATTACAATTATATGCTAGTTTTTAACAGTAGATGGCACTCTAGGCTAGTTTTCTTGGCACTCATGGTTAGTTTTTTAACTGCAGCTCTAGGCTAGGATTTAACAGCAGACGGTGCTGTTAGATCATCATCTACTATAAAAAAATAGTCTAGAGTGCCATCTACTGTTAAAAAGTATCATAGAGCGTCATCTATTATGCCGTCTACTGTTAATAACTAGCCTAGAGCACTGTCTGCTGTTAAAAACTAGCCTAGAGCGCCATCTACTGTGCCTTGTACTGTTCATAACTAGCCTAGAGCGCTGTCTGCTGTTAAAAAGTATCATTGAGTACCATCTATTGTGCCGTCTATTGTTAATAACTAGCCTAGAGCACCGTCTGCTGTAAAAAACTAGCCTAGAGCACTGTCTGCTGTAAAAAACTAGCCTAGAGCACCATCTATTATTAAAAACTACCCTAGAGCACCATCTACTGCTCCATCTACTGTAAAAACTAGCCTAAAGCACCGACTGCTGTTAAAAACTAGCCTGGAGCACCATCTACTATTGAAAACTACCCTAGAGCGTCATCTACTGTGCCATCTACTGTTAAAAACTAGGCTAGAGTACCTTCTACTGTTAATAACTAGCCTAGAGCACTGCCTGCGGTTACAAACTAGCCTAGAGCACTTTCTGCTGTAACAAACTAGCCTAGAGCGCCATCTACTGTGTCATGTCCTGTTCATAACAAGCCTAAAGCACCATCTGCTGTTAAATAGTATCATAGAGTACCATCTATTGTGCCGTCTATTGTTAATAACTAGCCTAGAGCGCCGTCTGCTGTTAAAAACTACCCTAGAGCACCGTCTACTATTGAAAACTACCCTAGAGCACCATCTACTGTGCCGTCTACTGTTAAAAACTACCCTAGAGCACCATCTACTGTGCCGTCTACTGTTAAAAACTAGCCTAGAGCGCCATCTACTGTGCCGTCTACTGTTAAGAACTAGCCTAGAGCACCGTCTGCTATTAAAAACTAGCCTAGAGCGCCATCCACTGTGCCGTCTACTGTTAAAAACTAGCCTAGAGCGCCATCTACTGTGCCGTCTACTGTTAAGAACTAGCCTAGAGCACCGTCTGCTATTAAAAACTAGCCTAGAGCGCCATCTACTGTGCCATCTACTGTTAAGAACTAGCGTAGAGCGCCATCTACTGTGCCGTCTACTGTTAAGAACTAGCCTAGAGCACCGTCTGCTATTAAAAACTAGCCTAGAGCGCCATCTACTGTGCCTTCTACTGTTAATAACTAGCCTAAAGATCTGTCTGCTAACCTTAAAAACTAACCTTAAAGCACCCTCTACAATTAAAAACTACCTTAGAGCACCATCTACTGTGCCGCCTACTGTTAAAAACTAGCCTAAAGATCTGTCTGCTATTAAAAACTAGCCTAGAGTGCCGTCTACTATTGAAAACTACCCGAAAGCACCATCTACTTTGCAATCTACAGTTAAAAACTAGCCTAGAGCACCATCTGCTATTACAAACTAGCCTAGAGATCCATCTACTATTAAACACTAGCCCAGAGCATGGATAAAATCAGCTTAGAGCTTCATCTACTATTAAAACCTAGCCAAGCCTGCTGTTTAAAACTCAAGAGGGAATAGCGATGCGTTTTGATCATCTCATAATTGATGCAGAATTAAATTTTTTCCGCCCCAACTCTACTATTACAGTCATTAATTTTCCCCTCTTCTCACCACTCTGCCTCTTTTATCCAGAGACTGGGATTTGCAGATGATCAGGGGTCCCACCAGCCCAGACGCCACGTCCCGGGCCGGATCCAGCGTACTCTGGTAAATCCGCGTCAGACATCGCGGGTCGGCATCTGTGGGTCCATCTTCAGCCGTCAGCTTCCACAGGTATGTCATAATCTCACCTGGGGGAACGGCCAGAGAACGCAGATCTACCTGTTTGTCTTCAACACACACACACACACACACACACACACACACACACACACACAACACAAGAGTATTAATATAATACATGACAGGTCAATTCAACTTCAGTTCATATGAACAATTATTACTGTCAATTGAAGTCCGCAAGAAGCTTTTTCCTATTGTGACGCAGTTGCTAGAGAAAATAAATATTAAGTAAACAGTGGGCGTGGCTTGTTTTTGTCTACTGCGAGCTGATTGGATGTAGTAAAGTAGGTGTTTCATTCAGTAAGATGGGGAAAAGGGTTCTGGGAGAGTTATTACAGCCTAACACAGGGGTTCCCAAACTTTTCAGCCCGCGACCCCCAAAATGACAATGCAAGTGACTCGTGACCCCCAATATTCTCTGAGATGGTGGTTATAAATACAGAAACCTTGTATGCAATGACGCGCACAAACACACAAATAGACCCAAGTCTATTCTTTGTTTTTTTATGTATGTCAGTGCTGTAAATGGGCTAAAAAATTTAACCTGGTGTTACAAAATCTGCTGCATCTGACAGTATTGCTGTGTCTTTAGTATAATGTAATTACCCGAGAAGTCGCAATCCAATAGAACTAGTAACTATAAGCTACTATAGTAACTATATAGTTTATAGTAACTATAAATGACTATTTTTTTCTCTTCAGTAGGTTATTGATAAAATATAGTAAGTCTTAAGGTTTAATAAAAATTAATTGATTTTTGAAAATCACCAGGCGACCCCCCTTCATTGTCCCACGACCCCTCGTGGGGTCCCGACCCCCACTTTGAGAACCTCTGGCCTAACAGACTCCTCCTGCTCAGCACTTCTGTTTGATGTCAAAACTGACAGCTGGAGCGGCGTGACTAACATACTTATTAAATGTAAACAAACAAATTAAATTTAGAAACATTCAACTTAATTAATTTGTTTTTAATTCAACCCTTATAAACAGTTTGCAACCACTTACCCTAAAAAAAAGTGTAAATCCAATGAGTAAGTTTTTCCAGTGTACTTAGCATATGTAGTATTGGGCAATGTAAGGTAACTACAGCACATGGGTTAAGTTTAAGGGTGGCTTCATGCTTAATTACTAGATATTTCACTGTTATTTTAAGTACGTTTTTAAAGTAAGCTTTTAGTAGGTACACTGGATGTAAATAAGTTTGTAAATTAAGGGCTTCCGATTAACTTTTCCCAGAGATGGGTTGCGGCTGGAAGGGCATCTGCTGCTCAAAAACTTGCTGGATAAGTTGGCGGTTCATTCCGCTGTGGCGACCCCGGGTTAATAAAGGGACTAAGCTGACAAGAAAATGTATGAATGAGTTACCCTTCTGTCAGAAACAGGAAAACCACTGGTTCATTCATTCATTCAGTCAATCTCCTTCAGCTTAGTTTCTATTTCAGAGGTCGCCATAGTGGAATGAACCACCAACTATTCTAGCATATGTTTTACACAGCGGATGCTCTACCAGCTGCAACCCAGCACTGGGAAACACCCATACACACTCATTCACACACACTACGGCCAATTTAGTTCATCAATTCCCCTATGGCGCATGTGTTTGGACTGTGGGGGAGCACCCGGAGGAAACCCACGCTAACACGGGGAGAACATGCAAACTCCACACAGAAACACCAACTGACCCAGCTGAGGCTCGAACCAGCGACCTTCTTGCTTCTTCAGTGCTCACCACTGAGCCACCGTGGTTCATACCTTTGTTTGTTGTCTTCAGAGGCTGAACGCTGGTCAGGCCGTTTGGATAAATGTTGAATGGACGACTGGCCATATTTTTAAACACAATCTGATAGAGAGAAACAAAAGAGACAAGTTAATGACATCAGACTTTAAAGTTAGCATCAAACTCACTCTACATTTATCATACATCTTATTTTTTCATAATTAACAATTCATCAAAGTAAGATTTGCTCTAATTTCAACGAGTAATTAACTACAGGGCAGTGAATTATTAGAAAATAATGCACAGCTAATGTGGTGACCTTCAGTTTGCAATTTCTAATGATTATTCCGATTATATTATGGTCACCACAGCTAAATCCACTGCTCAGATGTTGTATTAGTCCGGTGTTTTCCCTCCTCAAACTGCACTAGTTACTTTCACATCTCCTCCAAAGCCTTCTGTCGTGTTCTGATGTGCTTTCTGACTGGTGTAGCTGTGAGTGAACTCTAATCCTTCAGTGGAGTGATATGGAGCTGTAATGTGCTCAAAACCGGCCAGTACTACTTTAGCTGTGCATTCATATGACAATAACAGCACACCTTAGAACGCTCATCAGCCAATCAGAAGTTAAGATTTAACAAGTAAAAGTCTTAAATAAATCATCTGATTAGAATTCACTGTGGCTCATTATCCAGCTCACTTGAATGAATAACAATGAATAACAACAAGAGTGTGATATACAGTGCTGTGCAAAAGCCACCAGCAGCTTTAGGAGCCCAAGACTTTTGCACAGATCTAGCTATCTAAAAGTTATGGAGCAAGTTTTGCTTGCAGATTTAATATACACACAGAAAATGTGGGAAATATGTACACAATATTCAAAATAAAATTACTTTTTGAATCAAAACACTTGCATAAATATTCTGTGTTTAACTTGACCTCTTGCACCAAGCAACAGCTTTGTATGTGTTTTAATATCAAGCATCTTTCCGCATGTTCTTCCTTGGATTTAGCATGCTCTATCTTTATTTTCCTCTCCAGATGAATATCATACTGCCTATAATATTGCCTATATTCATTCATTCATTCATTTTCTTGTCGGCTTAGTCCCTTTATTAATCCGGGGTCGCCACAGCGGAATGAACCACCAACTTATCCAGCAAGTTTTTACACAGCGTATGCCCTTCCAGCCGCAACCCATCTCTGGGAAACATCCACACACACATTTACACACACGCTCATTCACTATGGACAATTTAGCCTACACAATTCACCTGTACCGCATGTCTTTGGACTGTGGGGGAAGCCGGAGTACCCGGAGGGAACCCACGCGAACGCAGGGAGAACATGCAAACTCCACACAGAAACGCCAACTGAGCCGAGGCTCGACCCAGTGACCTTCTTGCTGTGAGGCGACAGCACTACCTACTGCGCCATATTGCCTATACATATTGTATGTAATATTCAGGTCTGGACTCTGTGGGGGCCATTTCATGACTGTCATGAGCTGTTTTTCCTCTCCAGATATGATTTCATGACATTAGCAGTGTGTTTGGGATCATTATCATGCTGAAAAATTGAACTATTACGAATGAGGTGCTTTCTAGTAGGTATCACACAACGAATTTAAGCTTGTCTGTACTTTTCAGCATTCACAATCCCATCATTATTGACAACAGCTCCGGCAGAGATGCAGATCAAACCAAGACAGAAACTCCAGATTTTTCCTTCATTCTTCCATCTATGTCTCAAACAATTAGACCCTAAAAATCCAACTAGAGCCTGTGTTTTCAGGTTGTTATATCCAGCAGTTATGTTTGGCCATGTTTGACCCAAATATGAGTCATATTTTAATAAAGAGAATGAGAAGTAATATAAACCCTTGTTAAATCAGCACATGTGATTGGCGGCCTTTTGCACAGCTCTGTAAATGACGGCAGAGTGTAATTTATGGGTGAACTATCCATTGAAGTCTACCTGAAACTTGTCTCCCACTTCCCCTCGGAGCTCGGGACCGATCAGTGTTCTCCCGGTGGTTTTCTTGACGCTGAATGTCTTGTCTGTGTACTCCACGAACGCCACTTTCTTATAAACACCACCCAGACGCTGAGGGCCTTTTCTGAACCACTCGGACCCGGCTGAAGATGCAGGCCTGAAGCATGAACATCAGCGTTAGTTTCAGGTGGGATGTCCCGAACATTGATTTGTCCTGTACGTGACCAGCCTGGTCCTGTGCTGATAATGACACTTGAAGATGACATACAGTGAGGGCAGAGTTTTTAAAACATTTCTCAAGTGATATTTAATGGAGCAAGGAAATTTTTACGGTAATTCTGATAATATTTTTTCCTCTAGAGAAAGTCTTGTTTTATTTCGGCTAGAATAAAAGCAGTTTTAATTGTTTTAAAGCCATGTTAAGGTCAATATTATCAGCCCCCTTAAGCAATATTACATTGTCTCCAGAACAAACCACTGTTATACAATAACTTGCCTTACTACTTTACCCTAGTTAAGCCTTTAAATGTCACTTTAAGCTGACTACTAATATCTAGTCCAATATTGCTGTCATCATGGCAAAGAGGAAAGTAATGTCAGAGTTGTGAGGCGTACCGATCTCCGCTCTGAGCGGTATAATCCCAGTCCGTCTCCTCTGCAGAGATGTAATGGAGCCACACTTTGGGTCGGCCCTTCGCGCTGGAGCGAAGCACAGATATTGGACCTCCTTGTTTGAACACCACAGAGAACATGTTGTCTTCATCATCCTCCTCCTCATCGTCATTAGTGTGCTTGACGTTTCTCTTGTCCGGGAGGGGAAGCGGTGCGGGTTCAGGACAGTTTTCAACAGTGAAGAACGCATTCATACCAGCTGGAGAACAACACAGAGACATGCATTGGGTTTCCATCAGCCTGAGTTGATGCTCATCTTGAAGTATCACATGATAGCAACAATAAACTAAATAAAATATATATATTATAAAATATGATCATGCCTTGATTTTGAATGCTTTCATTAGGACAGTATAGTGCGAGTAAGTTTAGCGAGTCTGACCTGTCTGATGCGAGTGGATCCTGCAGGAGATCAGAAACCTCCCCGTGGCCGAGGGCTTCATGAGGGCTGTGGTGAAGGTCATGGGTGTCATCTCCACCGTCACCCGCTTGTGGTCGAACACCTTCAGCGTGTGTCCTTCAAACTGGATGCTGTGGATCTCAGGACTGGAGCCCAGACCTATGAGGTGCCAGGAGACCTGCGGACTCTTCTCACACACACTCAGACCTGAGCGAACCACAAACACAGAATTACTCATGAGAAATAAAAAGGAATGTGCATTTTAACCATCATATCTGGATGTCAGGGCAGCACAATGGCGCAGTGGGTAGAACAATCCCCTCACAGCAAAAAGGTCCCTGGTTCGAGCCTCGGCTGAGTCGGTTGGCATTTATGTGTGGAGTTTGCATGTTCTCCCCATGTTGGTGTGGGTTTCCTCCGGGTGCTCCGGTTTCCCCCACAGTCCAAACACATGTGCTATAGGGGAACTGGGTAGGCTAAATTGTCTGTAGTGTATGTGTGTGAATGAGTGTGTATGGGTATTTCCCAGTGATGGATTGCAGCTGGAAGGGCATACACTGCATAAAACATATGCTGGATAAGTTGGCAGTTATTCCACTGTGGCGACCACAGATTAATAAAGGGACTAAGCCGAAAAATGAATGAATGAATGGGTCTTGATGTCAGTCAGTGTAGCAATAGTTTATATGTCGAAAATAGTTTTTTTGTTGCTTGTTTAAATTAGTTTTTGGGGTTTTTTTAGAGACAACTTAATTGTTTTATGTTCAATCCACATATATTTGCAAAAGCGATTAGGTTAACTTGATTGATTTGTGTTGGGACAACATGACGGAATTGTATGAAACTCAGCGTTTTTGTTATTAGCTGATGTAGGGCAAGTGTGCTCATGAACTCACCCGGTAATGTGGAGTTGATGTAGCCGTTGATGGTGTGGTACTGGTTTGTGCTGGAGGTTTTCTTCAGTTTTTCTGCTCGACCCACTTCCTGATACCAGCTTTTGCTCTCATCGAAGACCGAGAGAAGCAGAATGAACTCTGGCACTCTCCTCTGTCTGTCCTCGGTTAGAGCGTCTGTGAAACCGCCAGTGTTAAAGTACATTCTCAATCAACACTACATAGTTTACCTCTCGTTAAATGTACTTGTCATTGGTAATTTACTTCCCGATGGATATATTAGCAGAATCAATCCTCCTTATAGCTGTCATCTTATATATTTTTAAATGTTATATGTCTTCAAACATGGCAAAGTTATGCGCCCTCCTGTCATTTTTTTATTCCTTTCTGAATATTTCCGTTTTGAAAATTGTGTTTAACAGAGCAATGACATTTGTTTACAGTATTTCCTATTATTTTTTTCTTTTTCTTCTATGCTGAATGATTTTGGCAGTGTAGAAAGTAAAAACTAAGAAAAATAATTACTTTTCAACTTGTTTTTGGAGTTTTTGGAGGCGTCTGCATCACCATATGGGGCGTAAGAACAGGATGTTTGTTTGGATATAACTCAATTTTCTGACCACACTTCATTATTATTGCTCATTTATTCCTTTGCTGGAGATTGGAGCTGAATTTAGAAATAGTTTTGAAGCAAATCTTTGCGCTTAACAAAGGAGATTAAATATGTGGGCTAATGGATGTGTTCAGTGGAGTGAGTTTCCACCGTTTCCTCACTACACCAAAGTAAAGGAGTAAAGTAAAGGAATAAAGTAAAGAGGCTGGATGGAGGAGGCTGGTTCTTTATCCTCGCGCTGCAGATGCTCTGTTTAACAGTTTTCTCACTAGTAAAGCATTGTTTTTACTCTTACAAAGTCGCCATATAAATAGCAAATGCGCCATGGAGCGATGCAACTGACTCTTAAAAGAAATGAGAGATGAGACTCTGATTGGTTTAATGCAGGTTATTCTCAAAACACAGCCAGAACTCATTAAGAGAATAAGCACAGCCCTGTTAAACCATACGCAGAGCGTATTTATCCATCCTTAAAATAGCAAAAGTGGATTCGGACACTGCCTTAAAGGTGCAGTAGGTGATCTTCCACAATGCTAACAGCTTAGCATAAATCTCTGAATCACAGCCCCTCCCCTGCCGTCTAGAGCCACGCCTCCTGAAACACGAGCACCGCAAAAGAACCCTCTCTCATGTGTTAAAAGCGACTAGCGCTTGTTCTGCAGCGTGCAAGCAAAACTGACATGCTATTTCAGAGCGAATATTTAGAGTTGCATGGTAAACAATACAGGGAGAGACTAGGCGGAATAGCGCTATTTACTTGTGTTCTGTTGTTAAACTAATTAAATCTACATCATCGATGCTGTAATAGGTCCCTTATGAAACTGAAAATAGTCTTATCAATCTTTCATTGAAAGATTTTAGTCGCTGAACAACACTTCGGTGAAGATATAACCCATTTGTAACAACAACATCTAACGTTACATAAACAGTTTAAAACATGAACATGACCTGTCTAAGAGAAATCCTTCAGCCTTTGTCATCCTTTCTCCAGCATGCAAAGGTAACTCCAATATTGATTCAGGTTTTTAAAAAGTTTTGATTCAGCAGGTTTTCACCGATCGCGCGCGCATGCTTTCTCTCGTGAACGCGCGATGTTCAGCTGAGATGCGTACAAACGACTGCGCAGTTGTTCAAATCTGCATTTGCTGACAGACAGATTGGGCTACTTATCGGAATTATGAGAGATGTCGGTCCGACTTTATTTAATTGGATGAACTTTTTTTAGTTTTATGCCTTTCCTAAAATATAAAAATACATATAAATACATTTAGATCATTTATAACTGCAGACAATCACCTACTACAGCTTTAATGCTTTTGCTTTAGACTTTGCGCCTAGATCATTAAAATAAAAGGTTATTGCACACTGAATCCTAAAGTTTCAATCGTAGTTTTTGCAGATTAAAAAATAAATTCGACCTCATTTTGTGTCAATCGTATTGACACACTGCCCTCAAACGTCCATCCGTCATTAAAAAACTAGAACCGGGTTTGATTTTCTTTCAGAAAATGCGGAAAAATCGCTTTGAGAGGTGTTTTGACACTTCAGATACATACAAGCAAACGCCAAAATCTATTGGATTTGCTCCTCAGTGTTTGGACTTTCAGCAGTGAAAATTAAACCACACTAAATTAAACTGAACTTCAGCTCTGAAAACTGGCCTGACACAGTTTCAATTTACTAGATCTTCTGTGTTCAGCTGCTTTGATACAATCTACATTGTAAATGCGCTACAGAAGACGAACAGAATGGAAGATGCAAAAGCAATGCAAAAGTAACGTATCGCATTACTTACAAAACTAAGTAACACAACTAGTTACTTTTTGGGGGCGTAACTCAATATTGTAATGCGCTACTTTCAGAAGTAACTTTCCCCAACACTGCTTATTTTCCCCGCTGTATATCAGAGAGAGAAGCACCTGTCTTGCAGATGAGCAGTGCGCCGATGAGTCCGCTGTTGAAGTCTCGAATGATGTCCACCTGTGATGAGTAGATGTAGGTCAGGCAGTCTGGGTCAGATGTGGTCGGCCCAGAGTTTGGAGAAATGTCCCACACGTATCTATAGTAGCCACCAGGGGGCACCGAGTCATCCGCACGCTCCTGAAAAGAGCTGGAGTCCTCATATCCCGCGCCTGAAAAGCAGAAGGATGTTGAGCTATATCTGTACACATTACGGGCTTTTAAAGCCAATCAGGATGTTGCTTTACTCTCAGGATGTTGCTGTCAGGTTTGTGGGTAAGCACAGACTTACTAAATGCTGGGTTAAATGGGAAATCACATGCGCTTTAAAGGATGGGAACTCTCAAAAATAAAAAATCTGCCATTTAGTCATCTTGCTTGTTTCTTTTTTTCTGTTCAAGCCCTGGCTGGGTCAGTTAGTGTTACTGTGTGGAGTTTGCATGTTCTCCCCGTGTTGGCGTGCGTTTTCTCCGGGTGCTCCGGTTTCCCCCACAGTCCAAACACATGCGCTATAGGGGAACCGATCAACTTAACTGGATGTAGTGTATGAGTGTGTGTGAATGAGTGCGGCTGAAAGGGCATCTGCTAAATGAAACATATGCTGGAAGAGTTGGTGGTTCATTCCGCTGTGTTGATCCCTTGATAAATAAGGGACTAAGCTGAAGGAAAATTAATGAATGCATTATTATTACCTTCTGATTGTTTCCAGTAGGGAATGCCGATGGGAGATATACTGAAGGATTGGGATGCAAAGTTTTTGAAGTGCACCACAACCCTGTCGTTCACCACTGTTCTGATAGTCGGGCCTTGAATGCCTGAAACACAAGCAATAATTAATAAACTCATCCACACTGTAAAATCGTCTGTTAATGAACAGTTTTCTGTGTGTTTAAGGTTGTGAATTGCATTATGGGATGTTGAACTCTTCTCTCTCCACCTTTGATGTTAAAAATTCAACTCTTTTATTGACATTTTAGTGGTTTAAATTAATATAATGTATAAGAAATAATCATATTTAGAGATATGAGTCTGTGAAATAACAGAATGTGCTGCAGTTTATTACAAGGTTTCTGTAGCATCACATACATCACCAACCCAGACAATCTGGACACTATTACACATGCTCATAAGAGACACTTTTCAAGGTTAAAAGTTGTTGCAAAATTGATCAAGATCCCATAATGCAAGTCAAAAGCAGAAATAAATGGGGGAAAATAAAAACAAGACTCACAAAATACTGTAAACTGCTAATTTACGGGTATATTTACAGTGTAGACATTCTTACAGAGATAGTTCACACCAAAATTAAAATCCTGTCATCATCGGGTTCATCGTTGTAACTATTATTTTTTGGAAAGTGTTTTCATCCTAAGATTATTTACTATTGCTGTACTTTTATTAAAAATATGATTTTTTTTTTCAAATTTAATTGAATCATTTAGTATTTTAATTATTGTATTATGTTCGATTTAGTGCTTTGGCTATAAGAAAAGCACAGCTAATTAATTGCATTGCTATCATTCATTCATTCATTCATTTTCTTGTCGGCTTAGTCCCTTTATTAATCCACAGCGGAATGAACCGCCAACTTATCCAGCAAGTTTTTACGCAGCGGATGCCCTTCCAGCTGCAACCTATCTCTGGGAAAGCATTGCTATCATTTACTTGTTTAATGTGCACAATGCATTCAGAATGTGTGTACTAATTTCAATAATTTATGTAGCAATCATAACTTTTATACACCGTATTTGAGCTGTAAACATATCTGCATTTAATGCCATTTTTTAAATAAAATGAAATAAAAATAAAAATATTGCATTTTTGTGGGGGTTCATATCAAACTTTTAATTACAAAATAAAATACAAAGAATATCAGTATCGCTTTTTATTTATTATTATTTTTTAAATATATTTATATATCAAATTATAATATATTTATATTTTTTATTATGTTATTATTTTTTATTCATTGACAAATTAGTTTTTTTAAATAATTTAGTTTGAAATTTATAAAAACAAAAAATTGATTATAGAATTAGCAACATTAACCAGATTACCGTAGATTACAGTTCAATTAAACTTCTTTATTTATAGCTCATAAACAGACTTACAAAACCTACCTATTTATTTAAAAACACTTTACAAAAATGTTAGTAATATATTTACTAACGAGAACTAATAATGAACAATACATGTATGTTTTTTTATTTTTTTTATTTTACTAATGCATCAAATATACAACAAACAATAGTAAATGCACTGGGAGTTAAAATTAACTTTATTTTCACTAAAACTAACAAAGATTAATAAATAATAGATGTGTTCTGCATTGTTTGTTTGTGCTGGTATGTTAACTAACATTGTAAACCTGATTGTAAACAGCTGTGTGACAATTTACATGTATTTATAATGGCACAAGGGTCCATAAACCATTGCATTTTGGGAGAACTATCTCTATATTCAGGGTGTCCGCGGGGATTTAAAAACTATTAAAAGTTGATAAATCAATCTAGAGGAATTTAAGGTCTTTAAAAAGTCTTAAATGCTATTTTGCAAGGTTTTCAATTTGATATTTGTGCTGATTATGCAGTGTATGGTTGTATGGTAAAGTTTGCCTGAATTAAATCTGCGAATATCAGGATGCCCAAATCTAGATTTGACAACATGCTGCTTTTTTACTACAGTAACCAATGCAACATCATTATTTCCGCAGTTCTAGAGGCGCCATCCTGCTGAATTAACTAGATTTCATTGATTTTTATTCAGTATATGAATCCTGTTTTAGTTTTGGATTAGTTTCTTTCATTAATATTTAGCAAATATACTGTAAGCTAAAATATCACCAGTGTTTCTGCTTAAAAAGTGGTTATAAGGTCTTAAAATGTATGGTAAGAGTCTTAAAAGAGGTCTTAAAAGGTATTGAGTTTCTCTCTCTAATATATAATGTGTACTGCATATATATTTGAGTAAGTTATACTGACCAGCCCATGGAGGTTTTGACTTGGGTGTAGTGAAAGTGGAATCGGTGTACTCCGTATATACAGCCTTGGTGTACTTCTGGACACCAGATGCAAACTTCCTGTAAGAAATTAATAAGCTGTCATTATTAGCTATGTTTATTACATAATGCAATGCAAAAATGCAATGCTAAATGTTAATTATGTGACCATGGAGAACAAAAAAAGCTGGATCAATAAATAAGACTAAATAATATCTGAAACTCTGGAATTTGGAAAAATTAGTTTGATGCATTTACAGTTTAGGAAATTGAATAAATCTCCTAATTAAACAGGATCTGTACTTAATAATTGAATCATTTTTGGCATAAAAAGAAAAAATCATTAATTATTTTGACTAATACAGCCTATGTTGGCTATTCAATTAATCTCAGTTCAGTCCAGGCTTATTTTTGTTGTGGTTTTCCACAAGAGTTATTGTTCCAAAGCAGAAGCACATAATAATATTGACTCGCTCACCTCTGGTTTGCGGCTGGATCTGCTGTGTCTGTAAACACATACTCCCATTTAGTCTCGACCGCTGCGATGAAGAACTCTAAAGTTTTAGCCGACACACACGAATACTCCTGACACGCGGAGAGGAGGAGGAGGAACAGAAGAGTCTTCATCACACACACACAAACACACGCTGACTGAATGACATGCTGAGCGGCTGCACGACTCATTTAACTGATGAGGGAGGAGCCAGCGAGAGACACGAACACACACACACAATTCTAGATTGCTGTAAATGCATCTGAAAATGTTGATTATTTAATATAATCTGTATTATTATTAGATATTATTATTAATACTTTTATAAATTAATTTATTTTCATCACAATCACTGTAATTGTTTTACATGTAAACATCGCAAATGCTTTGGCATTACATCTGTTATGTTGATAAATCAAATGTGTATTGAATTTATACAAAGAGAGATTAAAAATTGTATTTTTATTCCAAAATTAACAGTCAAAACATCAACATTATTACCAGCTGAAAAGGATAAAAGCCATTTTTAATCCAACAAAGCATGTCAACAAAAGATTGCCATTTGTTTGCTAATTTATAATAAACAGAGTACAATCCGAGTAATATAGAGTCTATAGACTTATTTTGATTAGTTATTCTGAATATATATTGTATGATTCTTTTTTATTATTATTATTATTAATTGTTGTTGTTTTTATAGCTATTTTTGTTTTATTATTATTATTATTATTTATTTAAATTGTCTTTTTTTTTTTTTTTTGCTATGAATGTTTTGGGGCGTCACGGTGGCGCAGTGGGTAGCACGATCGCCTCACAGCAAAAAGGTCACTGGTTCGAGTCCCGACTGGGTCAGTTGGTGTTTCTGTGTAGAGTTTGCATGTTCTCCCCGTGTTTTAATTTGGGTTTCCTCCGGGTGCTCCGGTTTCCCCCACATTGCAAACACATGCGCTATAGGGGAACTGATCAACTAAATTGGCTGTCGTGAGTGTGTGTGTAAATGAGTGTGTATGGGTGTTTCCCAGTACTGGGTTGCAACTGGAACCCAGGGCATCTGCTGTATAAAATACATGCTGGAATAGTTGGCGATTCATTCTGCTGTGGCGATCCCTGAATAATAAAGGGACTAAGCTGAAAAGAAAATGAATGAATGACTGTGAGATATGTACCAGTGAAGAGAAGTGAGTCAGCTAAACCACTCCAGATAATCATGAGTAATAAAGAGTGTTTGAGTCATATAGAAAGAATGATGTGAGTGGGAAAGGATGCAGGTTTGCTGTCAGCACCAATTCTTAAAATCTTTCTGTACATGTACAGAAGTAGTATATGTATAAGAATGAAGAAGTATATGCTTTTTAAAGGGACAGTTCTCCCAAAAACATTAATTCAGTCATCATTCATTCATCCTCTACTTGTTCCAAACCTGTTTGAGTTTCTTTCTGCTGGTGAACACAAAGAAAAACAACCAAGTTTTTGTGGACGTTTTTTTTCCTACTATGGGTGTCAATGGCTGTTTTTTTTCCAGCATTCTTCAGAATATCTTGTTCCGTGTTCAACATATATTTTTTTAAGTTTAGAACCACTTGAGCATGATTAAATGGAAATTAATAGAGGCTTTCAATTTTTTGGGTGTACTGTCCCCTTAAGAACGCAAAAAGACATAATGTGTAGACATAACTATAGTAATTGATCTGTTGTGGTGATTCTACAGTTGCTATGGTAACACAACTACCATTGTAATTGATCTGTTGTGGTGATTCTACGGTTGCTATGGTGACACAACTACTGTAGTGATTGATCTGTTTTGGTGATTCTACAGTTGCTATGGTGACACGACAACTATAGTAATTGATCTGTTGTGGTGATTCTACAGTTGCTATGGTGACACGACAACTATAGTAATTGATCTGTTTTGGTGATTTTACAGTTGCTATGGTAACACAACAACTATAGTAATTGATCTGTTGTGGTGATTCAACAGTTGCTATGGTAACACGACAACTGTAGTAAAAAACTAATAAAACTACAGGGTATAGTACAAAACAAAAACAATTTACTGTTGTAAACACTAAAGTATACTACAGTTTATGTATTACAGTTTATCAGTACAGCATTCATTAACAAAGAGGTGTAAATACAATATTGTTTACACTATAATACACTTAGCTATTGTATGTTTCAAAAAGAGCGGTTCATTCCACTGTGGTGACTCCTGAGAAATAAAGTCTAAGCCGATTATTTATTTTGGGGATATTGTTGTAGGTTTTGTAATTGCTGTGCATGTGTAGTTCTAGTTCTTTTGATCCAGTTTCCCTTTGTTCTCAGTTTCTCTCCACTAATGAGTTGGCCGGCCATTCTGTGCTGATAGATGAGGGTAAACAAACCTGGTCTTTGTAGGAGTCTCGAACCCGGGGCTTGGGCTCCAGTGTGAAGCTGCTATGAGGTGAGAAACGCTTAGAGAAGTACAGTAATAAAGCTTATACACACATCACAAAAGTAACTGACATCGGTATTATAAGGCTTCCCCTGAATATAGATTTGGAACTTCATTTATTTTCGGCTGTTGTTTATTGATTTGGACCTTCATGTACAGTGCTCAGCATAAAAGAGTTCACCCCTCACAGATCTCTCTCTTTTAAATCCACTTAGTTTTTTATAGGATGTTTTACAATTATAGATTTGTGCATATACATTAGATTAGTCATACCAAAAACAAAAATGGATCTAATCTAAAAAAAAAAATTAAAAATTCAAGATCATGGTGCAAAAATTAGTGCACCAAAATTATGATGTTAGCGAAAAATATGAAATAAAATTTTTGTATAAAGGAAAAATCAAGCAAAACAATATTACATTTTGTTTAAATATTGTAGTTTGTACAATTGTTTTGGAATACCTCATTTGAATTTAAGTGTATTATCTTTATATTCCTTAAGATGTTAAGTGACCAAACTTTTTTTTCAATGATGATGAATATGTAAATACTGGTGTTAAAAATTATCTAATGAATATAAATATGTATTAAATAGTTTACATGCACTGAGAAAATTGATAGAAATATTAATTTTCAAAACAGGGTGTACTCATTTATGTATGTACAGAGGGTGAAATAAATATTGAACACGTCAGAAAACATATTTATAAAGGTGTTGTTGACTCGGAATGTTCAGCAGATGTCAGTATCAATTAAAAGTATCCCATGCATACAAATAAAACAAAACTAAAATAGTTTGGAAATTAAGTTATATGTAGCCTAAAAGCACTGAACATATGAAGAAAGGAAGTTGTAAAAAGGCACTGAAGGCCCAGACAGCACCTGAAAACTCTCAGTAGTTATTCACCACTAATGAATATCAGTTGCTCCAGTCCAACGCATGTATTACCAGGACACGAAGATGAAACCAGGATCCATACTTGGGTGAAATATGGACAAACACAACTGCTAAAGCGTTGTTTTCAATTAGATTTTTACTCAGTGGATGATCTCTTTATATTTGACCAAATGTTGGGTTAAAACAACCCAACCCAAGTACTATTTTGTAATTAATAGTAAGCAATTCAATTATTTTATCTAATGTTTGGTTAAAACAACCCAACCCAAGTACTATTTGGTCAATAATAGTACTCATATACTACTCGGTATGGGATTTTCTGCTAAATTGTGTTATTACCTTAAAAGATGTGAATAAACACTGACTGGCTGCTGAGCGGATCACCATAGCTGATGAAAGCGCGGATAGATACTAGCGGAGGGATATCGTTATTCAAAATTGCGCGGGAGAGTAAACACAAATGGCGCATTTTCACTTAATCCAAACAAAGACTATTGAAAGGACTTGCTCTAAACTAGAGTTTTTGCATGTAGTTTATAAAATACAAACCTCCCAATGCCTTTCATTAGGACGAGTATCTGGGTAGGTTTCCAGTAAATCATCTGCTTTGTTTTCTCTTGTGTAAATGATGAGGAAACCATGGCTTGCAGCATCAATAACTTACCCAGGATTAGCCACAAAAGCAGAAGACTTTCAACATTTACCACAAGGTTTTCATCTATAAATCATCACCACAACGTTTTTGCTCGTCTAGTTATGCATTTAAGCTATAAAACACGACTTAACGGCATTTATACGAGAATTTAGGGTTTAATTTCTGTTTCTTTAGTGTGATGGGCGTTGTTTTGTCAAGAAGTCGGCCAAGATCAGCCGCAAAAGAAGACTTCATACATCTGCAGGTACAACTAATATTGTATCTTTGCACATCAGCAAGAGATATGAGGTAATAGTGCCACCGTGTGGACATTAAAAAGTCACATAAACATTGTAAAACTGCAACGTTTGCATGGTTTCTCGCTTAAACCCATATGTATAGATGGGATACAGCTGCGGATACTCACATTAATATAGCATCATTTTTGTAATACTGTACAACACTAATTATATATTTTTTACATTACTGTGAGGAGCAGGTTTATGGTTGGTTGGGGCTATACGTTAATAAAGTACAATCTAATGGGTAATTTAATAAATAATATTAACTAAAACCGGCCGCAGCTGCATCCTCTCTAGCAAGGACTGGCAATAATATAGTTAATCTGAAATCTCAATCTTTCCTGAAGTTTTGAGGAATTCAATTACATGTATTTTGCAAATTCCTCAATTATTCCTACATTGGATTGTTTAATTTCTTGGATGTAAATATAGTAATAAGGTCATGATAGCATCAATTATAAAAATGCTTTCCTTTTCTGATCAAGTTTTAATCTAGGAGGTCTTCAAAAACTGATGCTAGACCTGTCATTTCCATTGCTATTGCTTGGTTTGGTTGGACAATACTGTAAGGAACACCAAACCACATATACAAGGTACTTTGTTTTGGAAATTAAGAATTAAACATCGTCTGAAAGTTGATCAAAAAGCTTTCTATTGAGGTTTGTTAGGATTGAAAAACATTTGTTCGAGATGCATCTTTTTGAAACTCTAGAATCTGAGGGTACAAAAAAATCTAAATATATAGGAAAATCCGCTTTAAATATAGCCAAAGTAAGTTCTTAGCAATGCATGTTATTAATCAAATATTGAGTATTGATATTTTCCCCTCCAGTCTTTTTTAAAGTTGGAAACATGTCAACACATACGCTTCAATACAATGAATTTCAGTGCAAAGAATGATGGGACACAAATATAAATAAAACATCTCATTTGTATTTTAATTCACCAAAAATGACCATATTTGAACACAGAACGACTGAATTCAGTGCCTTAAGCAGTCATACATCATTTACATTTTCCTAAAAACATTGATTTATTTTCATGGGTTTCATATTTTATTTTCATAAAAAGTTTTAAAAGAATAAAAAAAGGCAAAAAACCCTTCTTAATTTCAGAAAGTCCAGTTATAAAAATATAAAAAAAACTAAACAAAACTAGATTTCTCTTAAAATCCAGCTCTCCATACAAAATATGAAACATTCAAATGCTGACTAACAAGCATATGAACCCATGATCCAGACAGTGTGGACAGAGCATGCATTCATGTTAAGTCACTATTATTATGATTATTTCATCAGTTTTTCCTCAGGGGGAGATCAAGTCTACTCCATCTGTTATGTGCTGTTGAGTCCATGATCTTCCTCATTACTGAGCTGCTTCTCCTTGGATGACTTCTTTTTCTGGACGATAAAAGACCAATAAAAGTCATTTAATCACAGAACAATCACAGTGAATTCTTAAATAAATAAATAAATAAATATAAAAGTAAACGATCAGCGCAATTGCATTAAAACATACAGAAAATGTGAAATATTTGGTGTGTTTAGAAAATACTAAAAGGTTTGTGTTTTATGTTGATCAGATTTTATATCGCAATACATTTATGGATCATATTAGTTTTATTTTATTTACATGTCCAAACTGAGCAAAAATGTGTAATTTTGGAAATCCTGATACTCATTAATATCTTTATAACAGTATATATTATACTTACTCCCAGGGCCGTTTTTATCGTAGTTGATATTTAGCCGCACCATGTTAGTGTTGTGTAACATCTCATTTTTTATTAAGTGGGTCATTAGCTCAACCCACCACCTGGAGGACCAGGACATAGTATACACACTCATACACAACAGACAATTTAGTTTACCCAATTGCCCTATAGCACATGTGTTTGGACTGTGGGGGAACACGGCAACCCACGGGGAGAACATGCAAACTCCACATAGAAATGCCAACTGACCCAGTCGGGGCTCAAACCAGTGACCTTCTTGCTGTGAGGCGACAGTGCTGACCACTGCACCATCCAATATATTAAACTAATTGCATATAAAGATATAAATATCCCCAATCTCTGTATACCTTCAGTAATTTCTTAGTTAGATTATATAAAGATGCTTAATTAGCCTGAGACGATCATTCACCAGTGAGGAACGGACAATGTAAAGGGTCTGGAAATAAACCTTCCTCAACTCCTTTCTAATATTTTTGTTTCTAAATTGTATAATCTTTTTAAAACATTATGCATGTTTAATTAAGTCAACTTAACTCAATTCACTACAAAATGTATTTATCATCACCCCATCAGCCAATCACTCTGTGCATAGTTAATGAACATGATGACATCATCAAAAGCATCATGCTCAACCCCTCCCTCACGCTCAGCTTAAGACTTTTCTCTATTCCCCAGTAAAGGTTTGTCTCAGCAGATTTGTGAATAGGTTTTATAGATCTACATTATATTATTATATTATGTTTGGATTTATTTTTATATTTAGGGGAAAGCTTAATGGTACGATAAAATGTTTTGTGAATACAAGTCCTGTTCTGTGCATGAGCAGATCTATTTCTCCAAGTGTATTTGTGAATGTTAACAGTGCAATAATACCTTTTTGGGAATCTGCACCTCCTCAGGCGGAGCAGATACAGGAGATGCATCATCTTCCTCTGCTGCTTCCCTCTCCTTCCCTTTCTTCTTCTCTGTGAATTAGTTCAGGATTATTATTTCAGCAAGCACACCACAATGCGATGCAATTAAAGGAGCACTCCGCTTTTTTTTCATAAATAGGCTATAGTTAAACTGTGGAGTTTTAGCATTGTTGAATTCATTCAGCTGATTTCTGGGCATGGCGGACGCACTTTTAGCTTAGCTTAGCATAGATCACTGAATCAGATTAGACCGTTAGCATCTCATTTAAAATGTAGCAGCAAAAATGGTAAGGCAGCAAAGTTCTTAATTATTACAGAGGAGTGAGAGTATAGTTTCTTAAATAACTTTTCATTTTCCGTCAGAAGAGTCGAGCTTTAAATGCGAAAACTCTTTAGTCATTTTTGAAGGAGATGCTAATGGTCTAATCTGATTCAATGATCTATGCTAAACTAAGCTAAAAGTGCTCCTGCCAGAATTGGAGATTAGCTGATTAGTTAAACTCACCCGTTTAACTCTAAAGACGCTGTAAAATGAGCCAATTTTATTTAAGTATTCTTATAAGACAAAAGACAAAATAATAAGATCTTCAGTGCTTCCCACCAATAATATCCAGCTGCAGGCCCGCAGAACCACACACGTTTCACACATACAATCTAGGCAAACCATATATTGTTTCGACAGATGTTAATGTTATTATACTTCCTGGACATCGTCATCGTTATATTTTGATATATATGGTTAATAAACATTCCACACAATAAACAATATTGTTTACTTTACTTTATTTCACAAATACTGCGATCGAGACGGGCGAATGGGGAGTGTTGTTTCCGATCGCCATTCAGTATAATAGACTGAACAGTTTCCTATCAGTCATCATCGATGATCAGTCATTATTATCTGACAGAGTTATTTTAGCAGATACTCGTTTGCTAAACGATCTAAATTGTACAGGTTTAATTTATAACGGGTTCATTTATAATGAAGGAAATAATAGCAAGTTAATAGCAGCAATAATACATTTTATATGTAATACAAATCTTTTTACATGTAATAAATATATAACACTATATTAATACTTTACTTAAGCGATTAAATAGTGTGTATTTGCTTAATTTTCTAATAACTTTTTAGTTAATGATTTCCCACTTTTAATACTGTAGTAAGTTAAAGTAAGCAATATATTGTTTTTAAACCAAAATTTAGCAATAGAAACAAATTAACTATTAATAATTAATTAATTAAAAATAGATAATAGTAAGTATATATGTATATATAACTAACAGTTGTGAAAGTTTAGTAGAAGATAGTGGTTTATAACCAGATATATATATATATATATCAGTTAAGATAATCAACTTATAGCTATATTATTAATTGTTTAAATGATTAACTACTGAAATTCCTTTTAATGTGACACATTATTGTTTGCTTTTTATATTTTACAACAAAGGGATTTTAACCAAGTATGATAATATTAAGATTCTGAATTAGTTTATTACACTTAATCCTACAATTAGACAGTCTATTAGGTTTTCTTTGTGTATGTGGACATGTGAATAAAGTCATAAGTGTCTTTAACCAATTATTTTTATTTACATAATTTGAGTTCAGAAACTGCAGAGGTGTTAAAATGATCGTTACGATATAATGCATATCAGTGTATTTAGTACTACATTTAGAAAATATTTTCTTTATTTTTTTAATGGGTGTAAAGAATAACTGGATGTTTACACAGGCACTTTGATATTGGTAAAGGCGTCTGCAACTTTTGTGAAGCATCAAATCACCGGCATATTAACTGTCAAAACATGTTCATGACTGCATGTATTATTGCTTTTTAAAAGTCACATATTTTGCATTTCTATTATACACAAATTGTTCTTAAGCGATCTAAAAAGTTCATATCAATAAGTTTTCTCTTTGCACCACCAGGTGGCAGTCTCTGTACTTTCATTTCAGGGGTGCAGATTGCATACGTTTTATTAATATGTATAACTTTATTTATTTTGTTAATAACCATAACTTTATATATTCAGTTAAAAATAGTTACTATTTTCCCAAGTGTATAAAACTATACTGTAAGAAAATATCAGCATTCGGCACACACTTTCAGTATTTTCTTTGCATGAACTGAGCCGGTCTAATTCTGTTTATATGAATTGAGCCTGCTGCCAAGCAGGTTTGATCCAGCAGAACTGTTGCTATGACAACAACTCTCGGATCAGCTTTGAAGAACGAAACGATCCTGGATCGTGTCAAACAGTCAACATCCAAATCCAGCTAACTGAGTAATCCACGTACGAAGAACGGACCCCAGATCTTTAATTACTCACTTTTTTTCTTCGGATTGACTAATGCAGGAACAGATGCGGCTTCTTCTTCTTCTGGAGTCTGAAGAGCAGGCTCTGCATCTTCATCCTCTTTGACTTTCTTCTTCTTTTTCTTCTTCTTGGGCTCAGCCTCCTCCTCCTCCTGCTCTTCCTCCACTGCGGCTTCTTCTTCTTCTATTTTGTGTTTTTTCTTTTTTGTTGTTTTGACCTCTTGACTGGAGGTGTCCTCATTTCCATCTGGAGATATCTCATTCTGGATCTCCACACCATCAGCAGCTGTCTTGCTCTTCTTCTTCTTCTTCTTCAAGGAGTTGTTAGTAGAGTCCGACTGCAGCACATCTGCATCTGTTTTTGTCCTTTTAAGCGGTGTTTCCAGCTCACCGGGATCTTCAGAGCTTTTCACTTTCTTGGCTTTAGCTTTTTTAGATGGCGTTTCAGATTGGACTGGTTCTTCAAGCTCTTCATTGACCATCAGTTCATCTTTTTTACATGAGGAATCTGCGGATTCAATCACAGACGAAACATCCGTTTTCAGCGTCTCATCAACATTTTTAGACTTCTTGCTTTTCTTCACTTTCCTTGAAAGTGTCTCTGATTGCTCAGCGTTGGTTTCTTCACTGAGTGCTTTGCTTGAACCATTCGTACCCTCTTTAATATCTAAGCTGGTTTCAGCATCTCCAGCTTCAGGCTGGCTTTTCTTCTTCTTATGTTTTTTAGACGGAGTCTCGACAATGCTCGGTGTTTCTGACGTGCCATTTTCAGTCTGAGCTATTTTAGGGCTCTCACACTGCTCTGAAACACTATCAGATAATTTAAAATGAACTTTTTTAGGACTCTTAATCCCTTCTGAGTCTGATCCTCCAGATATATTCGTTTTATTTTGTACTGAATGTGCTGCCTCGGCCACGTCAATCCCTGATACACTACTATTAAGCTTTTTTACAGTCTTTTTGGGTGGTGTTTTAACTTGGGAAATGACTGCAGCGTCTTCGCTCTTAGACTCGTCTGACTGAGGTGTAGATGCTGCAGGAACGTCCTCAGGTTTGGCTGTGTTGTTGGTTTTTACTGGTGTACTTGACTTTCCCTTATTGGCTGGTTTTGGGTCTTTTTTGGCCTTTGCTGGCTGTCTCGGCTTTCTCTTTGCTGTGGATTTCCTAGTCGTTGAGACAACAGATTCATCCAGTATTGAGAGAACGTCCATCTTGGCTCTATCAGCATCTGGGGATGACAGGCAAGCTTTAATAATCATATTATGTGTGATTAAAAACATGGAAAAATATGAATAGCCTCAAAACGAAAGGGAAATACACATGTATACACTACAAAAACTTTTCTTAGCCATAGTTTGTGTCTTGTTTCTAGTCCAAATATCTACAAATTCTTAAATCAAGAAGCATTTTCTAGACAACCAAAAATCTTTTTTTTGAGAAATGTCGAGTCAAAATAAAGTGAGTTTTTTACTTAAAGCAAGCTAAATAATCTTTATTACTTTACTCATTCCACTGTCGGATTATTTTGCTTGTTGTAAGGAAAAACTCACCTAATTTTGCCCAATTATTTCGTAAAACAAGACTATGGGCTCTATTTTGACAGTCCATGCGCAGAGCGCAAAACGCAGGGCGCAAATGTTTTCAGGGCGTGTCAGAACGCATTTTTGCTAATTTATGGACGGGAAAATCCGCTTTGCGCCGCGGCGCATGGTCTAAAAGTGTTGAGTTAGCGTAAATTAGCGTAAAAATATCGTAAATTCGCTATTTACAGGGCGCAAAGTAAGACTAAGTGGAAAAACTGAGCATTTCACAAGCAAACAGTTAACAGTTTTTTAACAGAAAACAGTTAAACAGAGCATCTACTGCGCGAGAATGAGAGATAATGGATCTACTTTCACTTTCGCTCTTGGATAGGGAAACCTTTACACACAGACATCAATTAGTCTATAAATAATTAATTGCGTTTGTTAAGCGCAAATATTCATTTCAAAACTATTTCTAAATTCAGTTCTAATTTCCAGCAAACGAATAAATGAACAACAATAACAAAATGAGCTCAAAAACCTGAGTTATATCCTAAAACACATGCTGTGCCCAAATGGTCTAAAACCTGACAGGTGGACAAATCTAAGCTTGTTTTTAATAAAACAAATATAAATATGGATATAATAAATAATACTGCTAATAATAATAACATTATACAAAATTAAATTGTTATGAATGAACTGAAAAAGCCTCCCGAGATGAAGAAGACATAAAGCAGTGGTTTTTCATATTTATGTAGGCTAGAAAATAATATGTTTTGTAATATTTGAATCCTTTATATTTATATCCTATATCTATTCTTATTATATCCTATATATATCCTTAATATTTACATTTTTTCATATGTAAAGATATTTGCCTATTGCTCTCTTGTGTGTATTAAGCAGTGTGTAAGCGAGGCACAACTCTGCACTGGAGTTTAGACTGGGTTAGTTTTGGTCTAATGAAAAATCTATTATAGTTTCTCAAAATAGCAAAGCGCCAGCGGTCCACCTCAGAACACCTCCCTTTTTAGACCAGAACGCCTATGTGCGCACAAATGAGCGCTGATGCATTTGCTATTTAAACAGCGTAGCGCAACGCTCAAAACCACTCTTGCGCCAAGCTGAAACTACCAAACAAGTATTGCGCCGCGCCTTGCGCCACACTGCGGCGTGTGTATGATAGGGCCCAATGTCTTTTGCCTGTATAGAAAATGCTTCTTGGTTACATTTTTGGGTAAACTGTCTCTTTAATATAAAGCATGACCATCAGGTGTTGCCCAGAAATTTACCAATAGTCTTGATTGTATTAATAAATCAGTAAAAATTTTCTTCATTAAAGTTACAAGTGTTATGTTATTGTGCCTGAATGCTTTACACTTTCTTGAAATGCCTTTTAAAAACACATGCACATGATAAAGTTCCACTCTGTTATGGTTATACGTTGCAGTGACTCACAAATCTCATGTAAACTCAATTCCAATCCCAACACAATGTTGCATATCCTGCGATGTGACTAATGCGGACACCTTGCGATATCAATGCTGAAACCATATATTGTGCAGCCCTATTTCTTATATTTGTTCTTCTGGAGAAAGTCTTATTTGTTTTATTTGGGCTCGAATACAAGCAGTTTTTAATTATTTTAAAGCCATTTTAAGGTCAATATTATTAGCCCCCTTAAGCAATATTAGTTTTGGATTGTCTCCAGAACAGACCACTGTTATACAATGACTTGCCTAATTACCCTAACTTTACCCTAATTACCCTAGTGAAGCCTTTACATGTCACTTTAAGCTGAATAGAAGTGTCTTGAAGAATATCTAGTCTAATATTATTTACTGTCACAGCAAAGAGAAAATAAATCAGTTATTAAAAAGCAGTTATTAAAACTATTATGATTAGAAATGTGTTGAACAAATCTTCGTTAAACAGAAATTGGGGGAAAATATATAGGAGGACTAATAATATTGACTTCAACTGTGAATTTATGACGGTATGCACCTGATATCCTGTTGTGTGTTTCTACAGATGGTCTCACCTGATAACTGAGACGCCACTTTCCTCCATTTCTCCAAATCTAAACTGGTGTCTGAGTCTGAATCATTCCCTGGAGCAGCAGAGACCGATGCAATCGCAGAGACATCCACACAGGGTAACACTTTTGTTTTCTTCGGCTCTTTCTTTTTCTTGCTTCCTTTCGTCTTTTCTTTCTGTGCAAGAGAATCAGGCCATTGGAGTTTAATTAAAACACTGCACTGCAAAACATGTTTCTTACTCTGAGTTTTTGTCTTGTTTCTAGTCCAAATATCTAAAACCTCTTAAATCAAGAAGCATTTTCTAGACAAGCAAAAGATACTCTCTTGTTTTCAGAATGAATGCGTTAAAATTAAGTGAGATATTCATTGAAACAAGTGAAACAAGTGACAATGGGGTCAGCAAAATAATCTTGTTTTTCACTTTGACATAAAATTATATCCCTTACCTCTCAGGCAGATTATTTTGCTTGTTTTCAGTAAAAAAATACACTTATTTTGACTCATTATTTCAGAAAACAAGACTATATTTTTTGCTTGATTCTTGATTTTATGTATTTGGACGTGAGAAAAAACATATAGATATTTTGGAAGTAAGAAAATAGTTTTGCAGTGTGTAGATTAAATTAAATACCTGCGATTTGTTTCCCGATCCTGATGTTTTCTTGCTGCTGGCAGGTTTTTTTCCTTTATGTACACATATAAAAAATATAAAGAACGTGAAGAAGGTTTAATTGATTACTAGTCAACATTTGAAGTGTATTGTATAATTAATAAACAATTTAATCTCTTAAAATCTGCATGAAATCTAAATTTTACAATGTTTATGTTGCTAGCGCACATTGTTAGTCTTAAAGTGAACAATTAATCTGGTTTATTTTGGTATTCCTTAATCATAATCTGACCATATCAGAGTTATATTTCAGTGTGATGATGCATTTCCAACTAAAACTGAATATTGAGTAGGGGGCGGAGTTTTATTGTTGTCCTCCGCCTCATTTCTAATCATGCACTCAAAACCTGCCGGAACTACTTTATCTGACAATAAGCGAACACTTTAGAATGCTGCTCAGCCAATCAGAATCAAGCATTCAACAGCACCCCAGTATAAGTGAATGTGATTTGGCTGCTCGTGTACCAGCAGAGGGAGATGTGTTCTTAGATTTGGCTCCTGCTCCAGTCTTTCTCTTCACTGGACTCTTCAGCTCAGGAGTCTGAACACCTGCACAGATTCAGGTTTAACTTCATAATATGCCAGTTCTTATATTTAAAGTTAAAGACAAAATTATTATTCTTTTTATTAATTAAGTGCTGTTTAACAGAGCGAGGATTTTGTTTTTACAATATTTAATTTTTTTTCTGCTGGAGAAGGTCTTGTTTCTTTTCATTTGACTGGGAAAGTATTTAATATAATTTTCAAGGTAAGTATTATTGCCCGCTTAAGAAATCCTCTTTTCCAACTGGCCACAGAGCAAACCACTGTTGTCTAATAACTTACCATAACTAGAAAAAAGAAATTAATATTTATTAAAATATTATGTACTGGAAAAAATAAATTAGTTTTTTTATTTTAAATAATTTAGTTTTTAGAAACATACTAAAAAAAAGCACTTAAATGAACATCTCTAATAAATGTTAATAATTAGGCAAACAAATGTGTTTTCTGTCAAAATGGGCAGTACATTTTCATCTACAGTACTTACAGCGGCATGATATTAGACAAAAAAAAATTGCAATATTCTGTTATATACATACAGGTAAATAATTCATCATTTATAATTATACAAATTCATTTTACAAATAGTTAAATACAATTACTCTTTGTTAAAGCCACAAACGTTGTAATTTCCTGTGTCTGAATGCTCTTGAAATGCTCACACAATCACAGGCCTTAAACACATGCAGGTGATAAACAATAACAAGTGTATTCTCATACCAGAAGGCACTGGAGGAGCGTCGTCATCTGAGCTGAATACATCAGGAAGACAAATATGATCAATTAATATGAAACTATATTAATATGTTTCAATTAACAATTAATATAATACAATTAATATGAAACTAATGATAATATATGAGACTAAATATGCATGCTGTTACCTGGCCCACTTCTTAAAGATGTCAGTCAGGGAGGCCTTCACTTTATTGGTCTCAACCTGCATGCAAATCACAATGAACGTGCATTAATGAACATTACATTTACAAACATGACTGTATTGACAAAGAAATCATAATAAATGCAGGTTATTTTTGGCAACATTCTAATTTTAGATACGGATGAAATAATGTTGATTGAGTGACGTCAGGCGTTGCCGAACTCCATTGTGGATCTGTCGGCACCGCTTCAGAGGTGTTGCTCACTGCAGAAGTTGGGACTAGTTAAACTTTTCAAGCACCAACGGAAGCGTCAGCCAATCAGATCGCTGTATGCAAATACACCAGCTAGACAGTGGCCTATTGCTGATTGAATTTCATTGGCTGTCGCTGCTATGACGATCGCTTCAGGCCCAACTTCAGACACGCCTTCAGTCAAGCGTTGATGCAGAAGCCCCATGTGAATGGGACGTAACAGCAACATAAACAGTGCTAATGTTGGTTATTTGTAATGCAATTTCAGACCCAATATTCAAATTAGAGTGGTAAACAATATAGGGATTGTTAAATGAAGGAATGTATGAATATAAAACCAACTTTACCCCAATAAAATAATGCTGTTTTAGAACTTCTTTTACACCTATTTATTAGTACTGAGTCCTAAGAGAAAAAAATTAAAGTCTTTAAATCCTATATAGTGCTTGTATAAGTGCATTAAAAGCACTTAAAGAGGAGCTATTATGCAAAAATTACTTTTATAAGGGGTTTAAAGCCAGTTGTGTGTAAGCAGTGTGTGAATAATAATAATAATACATTTTATTTAAAGGCGCCTTTCTAGCAACTCAAGGACACCATACAATCAACAAGAGCAATAAAACAACAAGAGAAATAAAAAATATACACAGCAATAGTGCAAATAAAATTAAGTATTATTAAAAGCCATCTTAAATAAGTGGGTTTTGAGTGTTGATTTGAACAGTGTGAGGGAGTCAGTGTTTCTGATGGCAGGTGGTAGTGAGTTTCAAAGCCGCAGAGCAGAGCGACTGAATGCTCTGATGCCCATAGTTGAAAGACGAGAAGAGGGAACAGACAAGAGAAGGGAGGAAGAAGATCGCAGGGTGCGAGAAGGAACAGAAATGTGGATGAGGGCAGACAAATATGGAGGGGCGAGATTGTGGATGGCTTTGAACATTAACATCAAGATTTTAAAGTCAATTGGAAAATGAACAGGTAACCAGTGAAGCTGCTGCAGGACTGGGGTGATGTGATGAGAAGAAGGGGTTCTGGGGATGATACGGCTTGATTTTATTTAATATAAGTAGCTTCTAATAGCAAACAAGAGCAATAAGGGGGGGTCAAGTTTTTCGGTTTATGTTCGGTAATGTGCCTCAGTGAACCAAAATTATATGTGTAATTCAATTACATCTAATTTATTAATCAAACTTGTTATGTTTTTAATGTTTTGAGGGATATTGAGTGGTTCTCAATGACATTTGGGATATTAAATAAACAAGTGTCAGGTTTGCTCTCCTGCATTAATGGATAACCATGAAAGACTGCACATATTTTTTATTTTACAGTTTAACTTTCATGTGCGAGCCAGTGTATGGTAAAATACAAACTGTGCATTTAGGTTTATAAACACCTACAAACGTTTTTTATAAAGTGACATGTTTTGTAAACACTGCCACTGTCTTTCAGTGCTCTAGAGATTTGCGGTTTCAACCCGCTAAAATTAATATTTTTGGGGTAAACATGAATGGTGGGGGGATTGTTAAGAGATAGCAAGCGGGTTCAGACCCCCCAAACCCCCCTGGAAATCGCACCCTGAGGGAAAGCCCTGCCCACTAGTGAACATTTCCCCTTCATTAGCATATGGAAGAATGGTAGTCTTGTTTATTCTACCACTATGCTGACTCGCATGTATTTGTAGCTCCGCCCTCATCTGAGAAAAACATTTGCATTTAAAGCGACAGTCACCAAAACGCCACAATTAGGATCAAAGCCTAAAGGGTCAGTTTCAGAGAATTATAAAACATTATTTGTGTGCTATTTTGAGCTGAAACTTCACACACACACACACAAACACACACACACACACACACACACACACACACACACACACACACACACACACACACTAGAGACATCAGAGATGCATTTTACATCTAGTAAAAAGGGGCAGAATAGGTACCCTTTAATGTCAGTAAACACAGAACAAAGTTAATTAGCATGCACTAGATATTTCAAATGCACAGATATAAATGTCAGGAAACTCTTGCATTAGAGCTGCTGTACTGACTGGCAGTGATTACAGTGTAAACACTCACTCATTCATTAATTCCGGCTAATGAAATAGTCTAAAAGCTTTATTCTGATATATATTATATACAAAGCATGCACAACACAGTCATAGTCAAATTGCAACACATAATTATACACATGCACACACCTGGGGCGCGTGTTTTCTTAGCGACCTCGCTGCCTTCTTGTACCCGTTGTCCTTTAAGTGATGGTATATTAAATTGATGAGCTCGCTTTGCGAGGCGTCTGTAATATTTGAGCTCATGTTTGTGCTGGTGAATAATTAAAAACGACTACACTTAGTAAACATACACGTAAAACTTTGCAGCATGTTTCTGTTTCCGCTACTCTCCCTCAGCAGCGACATGCGCATTCCTGCACTCTGACCCATGACCTCTCCACTGCCCCGCTGCATGCTGGGAAATGTAGTTCTTCCGAATGTTGTCGGTTTTCGTGCAACGTTAAAGAGTTTAATACTAGTACAACCTATATGTCTCGTTGTTAACTAAAGCCATTAAAAATAATTTAAATAAATGTTAACTTATAATAGATATCTAATTTTATGACCAGATATAGTATTCTGAGAAATTATCCAACAACAAGTCGTGTTTTACATGACTTTTAGCGCATTTTATATGCATTTTAATCTAGTAGTGCTATACAGATGGTTCTGCCTTTTAATTAACTATGTAACAGAGTTCACCAAAATGTAGAGACAGACACAAAATCTATTTTAATAACTGAAATTACAAATAACACAGACAATAGCTGTTTCATGCAAATGTTTGTTCAGCTTCGTTAGCATACAAGCATACAAATTAGACTTATAGGTATAGTGGGAGTCTTTAAGTTAATATTTTCAAGACAAAATGACCCAAAATACATAAATAATCATTAGTTTTCAGAGATAACCTGATATAATTTGTGTTCTTTTTGAAAACTGTCATTAGTTTTTTGTTTATATATACCATAAACGAGTTCACCTCTCACAATTCAATATTTTCTATTGGATGCTTTACGAAAGTATATTTGTAAATATAATAAAGCATTAAATTAGCCAGTGCTGAAGCCGAGATAATCTAACAAAACGATCACACAGTCCAAAAATGGGTACACCCAAATTATTATGTTGGGGAAAATGTTATTGGTGCAGTTTGTGCATGGTGAATTATGTTTGCACGTAGTAGTTTTAATAAGTCATCTCTAATTGATTTATTTTATCTTTGTCATGATGACAGTAAATAATATTAGACTAGATATTCTTCAAGATACTAGTATTCAGCTTAAAGTGACATTTAAAGGCTTCACTAGGGTAATTAGGTTAATAGGCAGGTTGGGGTAATTAGGCAGGTTATTGTATAATGATGGTTTGTTCTGTAGACTATCAGAAAAAAATTAGCTTAAAGGGGCTAATAATATTGACCTTAAAATGGTGTTAAAAACAATTAAAAGCTGCTTCTATTCTAGCCGAAATAAAACAAATCAGACTTTCTCCAGAATAAAAAATATTATCAGACACACTGTGAACATTTCCTTGCTCTGTTACACATCATTTAGGAAATATTAAAAAAGGAAAAAAAATCAAACGGGGGTGAATAATTCTGACTTCAACTATACATCATCTCAGTCTGTTTTTAAATTTAGATTAAAAACTTACCTTTTTGATTTGGCATTTTATTTGTAAGAATTGTTTGTTTTAGCTATAATTTTTTTCTCTTTCTCTTTGTGATTTGTATTGTGCAACACATTGGTCAACCTGTTTAATAGTGCTGTATAAATAAAATTGACATGTAAATTTGACACCCAGTCGAAACAAGATATTGTACGCCTGGTTCACAACACACGCAAGCGCAGGTTGCCAGATTGACAACATCAACAGAACTATTGAGCCTAAAGCCTGATTTAAAAGATAAACAATACCATTGTGCTGGAGTGCAGTGAGTGCACTATTCTGTCCATCTGAATGGCTGTATTTATATTTCTGTCGTGTTTCGTCTGGTAAAAACAGCCTTATTGCTCATCACTGCAAATCTCATCACGTAGCGTGTTGTTAGGACACTTGAGTTACAGTGTAACCTGCTCACCTAATGTTTCCGCGTGAATATTTATATTATTTGCTTATTAATGACCTCATGTGGAACTCTGAATCTGCATCTCATTTCGGAGTCTGCTACTGTCCACCAGAGGTCACATTTCAGTCATGGACGCATGCTTTCAGAGCCTTCCTGACTGAGTAAATGATTGAAATACACTGTTTTCCATTAACTGGCAACCCGGGCTGCTGAAATTTTATTGGTTAAACTGGCAGTGGGTGGGTTTAATGACCAAAACAGAGACAGCCGTTCCGGCACGCAGTGCACGTTTAAAGCATATCTGAATTCAGCATTGTTTTCCAGATAAACAAGAATGTCCACTGAGCATGTTTCTGAATATCTGCACACATATTATAGTGTATTTATGCTTTAGAAGAGTCAAAAACTCACAGCACCTTCAAATATAAATATTCATTTTCAATATGGGGTGTGACCTCACAGCAAGAAGGTTGCTGATTTGAGCCTCGGCTGGGTCAGTTGGCATTTCTGTGTGGAGTTTGCATGTTCTCCCAGTGTTGACGTGGGTTTCCTCCGGGTGCTCCGGTTTCCCCCACAGTCCAAACACATGCGCTATAGGGGAACTGATTAACTAAATTGGCCGTAGTCTTTGAGTGTGTATGGGTGTTTCCCAGTAATGGGTTGCGGCTGGAAGGGCATCCGCTGCGTAAAACATATGCTGGAATAATGGGTTCATTCCGCTGTGGCTAAGTGAGATATAGACTAAGCCGAAGTAAAATGAATAAATGAATGGTGTGTGTGCTCATTAATGCTGAGCGCTGTGTATGTGCACAGGTATGCATGTATAACCTCCATCAGCACACGCTCTGATAGTTGTGGGAGATGGAGCACAGGTATGGCGCTGTGGTCTGGTTTGAACATGTTACCTGTGTGGTTCACCGGGGTCAGATTCCTGTCTGATTTCAGAACCGGCAGCGTCAGCGGGTGCACGAGTGTCACGTCAGGCAAGAAAAACACCTCAGTGAAAGAGTAAAACCACAGACGACTGCTGCTCCACTAATAAAAGCCCAATCAGATCCAGACAGCCACTCTCAGCCCTGCGGTCAAATCAATGCGAGCAGGTGTGTTTGGACTAGACTGTGTGTGTGTGTGTGTGTGTGTGAACTGTATAAATGTGTGTGTATACTGTATATGTGTGTGTGTGCCTATACTGTGTGTGTGTGTGTGTGTGTGTGTGTGTAAACTGTAAAAATGTGTGTGTTTACTGTATATGTGTGTGTGTGCCTATACTGTATATATGTGTGTGTGTCTATACTGTGTGTGTGTGTGTGTGTGTGTGTGTGTGTGTGTGTGTGTGTGTGTGTGTGTGTGTGTGTGTGTGTGTACTGTATAAATGTGTGTGTATACTGTATATGTGTGTGTGTGCCTATACTGTGTGTGTGTGTGTGTGTGTGTGTGTGTGTGTGTGTGTGTGTGTGTGTGTGTAAACTGTAAAAATGTGTGTGTTTACTGTATATATATATATATATATGTGTGTGTGTGTGTGTATGTGTGTGTCTATACTGTACTTATACTGTAGGTGTGTGTGTGTATCGTCTGTAGTTGTGTGTTTGTAGACTATATATATACATATGTATGTTTGTATGTATATTGTATAAGTGTGTGCGTGTGTGTGTGTGTGTACTGTATAAATGTGTGTGTATACTGTAAATGTGTCTATACTGTATATGTATATATATATATATATATATATATATATATATGTGTGTGTGTGTGTGTGTGTGTGTGTGTGTGTGTGTGTCTGTGTGTGTATACTTTATGTGTGTGTATACTTTATGTGTGTGTGTGTGTGTGTGTGTGTGTGTGTGTGTGTGTGTGTGTCTGTGTGTCTGTGTGTGTATACTTTATGTGTGTGTATACTTTATATGTGTCTGTGTGTGTATACAGTGTGGTGTGAAAAGTGTTTACCTCCTTAATGTTTTCTTGTTTTTGCACGTTTGTCACTCTTTAATGTTTCACATCATCAAAGATAACAGTAATCTCCTCTTGAAACATAACTGAAGTCTGCTTTATTACAGAGCTTAATTTCTTGACAAAGTGAAGTAGACCAAAATGATCAACCAGTCTGGTTTCCACACCACTGTGTGTGTGTATGCATCTTTATATATGTCTGCACATCCTGCATCGGTTTCTCAGGTTACATCCAAAAACAAGATTGGGTTTCCTCAGGATATAAAGCGAACACACATTCCTTGAGTTCGGCTCTTCACTGCGGCCTCTCGTCTATAACATACACACACTCGCCTGTTTACTTTCTGCATGAAAACCGAGACGTGATCCACCGTTTATACACAAAACACACCTTCAGCTCTGCGTAACATCCACACACTCTCTCTCTCTCTCTCTCTCTCTCTCTCTCTCTCTCTCTCTCTCTCAGGATCCCTAGAAATGTTGCACTGCAAAAAAGCTTTTCTTAAAAAATATAGTTGATTTAAGAAGTCATACGAAAAAATTAGCAGACGTTTTATAAATTTATTCATTTATTTATAGTCTTTTTGGCTTAGTCTCTTTATTAATCAGGGGTCGCCACAGTGGAATGAACCACCAACTCATTCATTCATTCATTTTCTTTTCGTCTTAGTCTCTTTATTAATCAGGGGTCGCCACAGTGGAATGAACCACCAACTCATTCATTCATTCATTCATTTATAGTCTTTTTGGCTTAGTCTCTTTATTAATCAGGGGTCACCACAATGGAATGAACCACCAACTCATTCATTCATTCATTTATAGTCTTTTCGGCTTAGTCTATTTATTAATCAGGGGTTGCCACAGTGGAATGAACCACCAACTCATTCATTCATTCATTTTCTTTTCGTCTTAGTCTCTTTATTAATCAGGGGTCGCCACAGTGGAATGAACCACCAACTCATTCATTCATTAATTCATTTATAGTCTTTTTGGCTTAGTCTCTTTATTAATCAGGGGTCACCACAATGGAATGAACCACCAACTCATTCATTCATTCATTTTCTTTTCGGCTTAGTCTCTTTATTAATCAGGGGTCGCCACAGTGGAATGAACCACCAACTTTTTCATTCATTCATTCATTTTCTTTTTGGCTTAGTCTCTTTATTAATCAGGGGTCGCCACTGTGGAATGAACCAACGACTATTTCATTCATTCATTCATTTTCTTTTTGGCTTAGTCTCTTTATTAATCAGGGGTCGCCACTGTGGAATGAACCAACGACTATTTCATTCATTCATTCATTTTCTTTTCGGCTTTGTCTCTTTATTAATCAGCGGTCGCCACACTGGAATGAACCGCCAATTTATCCAGCATATGTTTTACG